AATTTGTAAAGGGTTTATCATAAGGAAAAAAACTTTCGGATTTGAAATTTGGAAAAAGTCTTTGAAAATTATAAGCAAAAGCGCTCAACGGAGTTGATCCACGACGTACAGTAGCCGACCGAGGGTTGTAACCAGAAAGGTCAAGGTGACATGAAAGACGCCAATCATAGCTACAACCTTACTCTGTTGATCTTGCAGAATGAAAAGCGACTGAAAATAAACGGTGTACTAAGGGGAGGGGGGTGCTGAGGTAAATGAAATTACGTGACGTCTCTTCTTTTCGTTGGACAATTATTACCATTTTCTTGGAAAATTGAAAATCTCTGAAAACAACAAAAAAAACCCCTCCATGCCCCCAAGTGTCATTCAGACTGTAATGTAAATACCCTCTATTGAAGATTAATTTAAATCTAGCGTTGTTCTATCACAAATCCTGCAATCTGATTGGCTAAGTTACACGCTAACTATTCCTTGATAGTTAATAATCATGGCGAATAAGGCTTCGTCATCGTCAACAATCACGTGATAGTAATCTCAAGATCTCGAGCCCCCCCTCCCCATTCCCTTAAAACAAATAGAAAACACCCTAGAAATGAAATATCATCTGAAAAATGAACTGAAACAGCTTAAGGCGGGATGTTTACGCTTAACTACAAGTCGAAACATCAAAATATTCATTAGTAAAAGTGACCTCAGCAGATTAAAAAAGAGACTATTGTGCGGCATTGTACGCCGTTAGCGATACATATTAAGCTAAATTACGCATACGTTTTGGTTGGTTCTTTCATGTGATCTATTGGAGCACAGACGCATTGATGACGTCACCATCAATAATGTTTTGACTCTTTATTGCATAAAAAAAAAAAACGGATTCCATGTTGCCGTGGGTCTGTACAGTAAAATATCACATAAGACGTAAAAATGTGGTAGGAAGCTCAGTGACACACCCGGCCGCGCCTCTTGGGTCACTTTTTTGTTCTCACCGCATTTGACGTCATCTGTAATCTATTACTTATCTATTACATCACCATCAGTAATACTTTGGCTCTTTATTACATAAAACAAACAGATTCCATGTTGTCGTGGGTCTGTACAGTAAAAGATCACAGGAGACGTCAAAATGTGTTAGGAAGCTCAGTGACACACTCGGCTGCGCCACTTTTTGTTCTCACCGCATCTGTAATCTATTACTTAACAGACGTATGGCAACACGGAATCTATATGTTAAACAGTTAATGGACCCACAGTTTTAGAAAACAGGTAGTTGAGTCTTTCCTAAAAGTTCAACAATGACACCACAATGTCCGATATATGTGAGATTTCTAATGTATTAGTTTTCTGTTTATTGACCACTAAAATGCATAATTCTTAAATAGAAAGTAACTGAAATCTTGTTTAACTGTTTTGAAGGCCTGATGTCCCCCATGGCAATGTCCAAATCCATTCAGCACCTACTGCAAACTACTGAAAAATAAGAGTGGAACCAAAACAAAAAGCGGAAAAATTTTTATATTCCTGGGTTGCTGCTTCATTTAGCAAGTTCAACAGGGATCAAAGAGTTTTCTTACTACAAGTCATATATGTTGGGAATCCAATTCCAATGGTGTAGGTTGTCAGAAAAAGGGAAACGAAAGGAGGAAGGGTCTCTTAGATAAATTAAACGGATATGATCCTGAATCTCTATCTAAGTTAATGTTAGGAAATGAAAGTGAATAGTTGAGTTACCATCAAGATGCATTGTCATAATTTTTGAGAAAGGTATATTTGAAAAGTGTTGTAAATGGTAACCAAATTCGCTAAACACATGAAGATAAGCAGAGAAAGACAGGAAATAGTGACTGAAATGGTTTTTTCCTAACCTACACTCCCCCCCCTCCCTCCCCTTACTTATGAGATCAAGGTAAGGTGTCGTTAGGAAAGGGGAGGGAAGCTCCTTTTTTCAGAAAAAGGGAAAAGAAAGGAGGAAGGTCTCTTAGATAAATTAAACGGATATGGTCCTGAATCTCTATCTAAATTAATGTTAGGAAATGAAAGTGAATAGTTGAGTTACCATCAAGATGCATTGTTATAATTTTTGAGAAGATTTTTTGAAAAGTGTTGTAAATGGTAACCAAAATTCGCTGAACACATCAGGATCAGCGGAAAAAGATAGTGACTGAAATGGTTATTTCCTAACTTACACTCCCCCCCTCCCTCCCCATACTTATGAGGTGGGAAAGGGGGAGGGAAGCTCCTTTTCACTACGTACACGCCCTTTACCTGAATGAGAGTAACATCCCAAAAGCCAAGACCAGAAGGGAAATTGTTATGCCCACTGAAAAGAAAAATTCATAAAACGTTATTTTCTGCTGCAATGGTATGCAATGGCCTCTTCTGATACGTCCATTACGTCTTATACGTTAAATTTGCCTAAAATACTCTAAAATATAATTGAACATAATTTTGTTCTGTACCTATTTTAACTACGCTCGTACACATCTAAAACAAAATTTTAAATACAAATAAGGATAATCTCGGTCTGGTCAGGAGCACTGAGCTGCTGAAGGCTCAGTTAAGTCACTTGCTTAACTTGATTGAAAATAACGCATAACCTTCATGTGATGATCTTTCACGAAGCTGGAAAATGCAATCAATGATTGAGTCTTCTTCGTGTTTGCTTAAAAACCTATCCCTCAAAATAATCATTTCGAAGCCGTCCAATTGAATATTAAGGGTCACTGTTCTCTGAGAAAGCAAGCCATCCAGAAGTACTATGCGAGTGGGTATTCAAATGGGTTCCTCAAAGGAAACTAAGCACAGAGGTTCTAGGACGCGAACGATGACCGAGAGGAGAATACAACTACTTCCAGTGCATAGCGACGTCAACTAGGCGCTGCCGACTCAAGTTCTGTAGAAAGCAGAAGGTTAAAGAAATCTCAACTGTTTCTCCAAATAAGTTTGCAAATTCTATTTACAATTTCCTTAAACACTCCAGTTGAATGGAATCACTATCTCAACTATCTAAGTCACTATTTCAACTATTTACAGGAATGTGTCCTACCTGCGTCACAGTATTCTACGCAGTCTTTCGTCATCTTTTCCACCTTCAACCCGTTACAGCTGTACTGATCCGGCACACACGTTCGCTCGGTAGTATATAATATACAAACTCCAACATGCCGATGGATTTTTGTCGCATATCCCTGATGCATGTTACAAGAGTATACTTGTTTTAAGATAGCCGTCGGTAACGATTTCTTTCAACGCAACAATATTGAATAAGAGACCGCGAAAGGTCCCGATTTAAATTGGTGGTAAATATTCGCGGTTGTTTTGTTTAATTATTTATAATTTATTCTGTAGTATGTACGATGAATGACTTTATTTGTTCCATAGCTATGGCTTTGTTATCTTCCAGGCACACAAACCTGACTTCCCTTTTCTTGTATTATTTGACGAGTGGCTCGATGATATTTTTTTTTATGTATCAAAATTATTTTTCTGACTGATCAGGGATCTAATTGAAGTTTTAAGTTGCAGTAGTTTAAAGGCTGATCACTTTAACCCAGCCAAGATCGATCTCTGTCATACAAGCAAATAATTTTTTTAGTTTTATTCTGAAAACATGTAAAGGCTTTCAAAATAACTGACGTCTCACGGTTTCAAACCCTTAAGGTCGTTTAACTGTGGTCATAGCTAGAGGTAACAAGCTGAAATTACTGGTTTACACGAGCGTTTCATGTTTCTTTCGCATATTTTGCATGACAGCGGTTGCTTCTTTCCTGGGAAATTTTGCGCGAGAAATTGACGTGCAGCAAGTCATAGATATTGATCTCCTGGCGAATGCCCTCCGTTTGAGGCTGCAGCGTCAGCTCATTCACCCAATCCATACCAGATTCCCACCAATCCAACCTCAATTTACTCTTACGCACCTTTATCCATCTAAATTCACTTTAAACTACCACAATTGATTTTATTTCTGACAAAACGTTTTCAATCTAATCAATTCATACTTTTACTGCGAAGAATTCTAAATTTACTTCATTGACTTATGTTACCCCAAGCTTCTGCGGGGTGTTATCCAATTAATATGGGTTCTTGTGTTCACCCCAGGGCATCAATTTGTAATGGGTTTATCTTTAGGAAAAACTCAAGGAGCTATCGGATTTTAAATTTGGAATTGGAAAGCAGAAGCGCTCAACGGAGTTGATCCTCGACGTACAGTAGCTTGCGATCCTAGGGTTGTAACCAGAAAGGTAAGGGTGACACTAAAAACGCTAATCATAGCCTCGAACTTACTCTGTTGATCTTGCAGAATGAAAAGCGGCTGGAAATAAACGGTGTACTAAGGGGCGGGGGGGTGCTTAGGTAAATGACGCCATTTCTTTTCATTAGAAAATTATTACCATTTCTTGGAAAATTGACAATCTCTGAAAACGAAAAAAATATATTCCATGCCCCCAAATGCTGATTCAGACTCTAATTTAGGTACCCTCTATTTAATATGAATTTAAAACTAGCGTCGTTCTATCACAACTCTAGCAATCTCATTGGCTAAGTTACCATCGTCAACTATCACGTAATCTAGAGCTCCCCCGCCCCACTCCCCTTTAAACAAATACCCTAGAAGTGAAATATCATCTTAACAGTGAACTGAAACAGCCTAAGACGGGATGCAGGATGTTTACGCACAACTAAAAGTCGAAACATCAACATCTTCATATAAAGTAAAAGTGACCACAGCAGATCAAAAAAGAGACGGTTGTGCAGCATAGTAAGCCGTAAGCTTTACATAATAATCTAAATTACGCGCACGTTTTGGTTGGTTCTTTCATGTGATCTATTGGAGCACAGACGCATTCATGACGTCACCATCAGTAATGTTTTGGCTCTTTATTGCATAAAACAAACAGATGTTGCCGTGGGTCTGTACAGTAAAAGATCACAGAAAACGTCATAATGTGGTAGGAAGCTCAGTGACGCACCCGGCTGCGCCTCTTGGGTCACTTTTTTGTTCTCACCACATTTTGACGTCATCTGTAATCTATTACTTAACAGAAGTATGGCAACACGGAATCTATATGTGAAACATTTAATGGACTCACAGTTAGAAAACAGGTAGTTAAGTCTTTCAAAAAAGTTTAAGAACGACATTACATTGTCCGGTATACGTGAGATTTCTAATGCATCACTTTTCTGTCTAGAAAGTAACTGAAATCTTGTTTCCTTGTTTTGAAGGTCTGATGTTCCCCATGGCAATGTCCAAATCCATTCAGCACCTACTGCGAACTGAAAAAACAGAGTGGAACCAAAACAAAAAGCGGAAAAATTTTAATATGCCTGCGTTGCTGCTTCATCAAGCAAGTTGAACAGGGATCGAAGGGTTTTCCTACTACAAGTCATATATGTTGGGAATCCAATTCCACTGATGTAGGTTGTCAGAAAAAGGGAAAAGAAAGGAGGAAGGGTATCTCAGATAAATTAAACGGAAATTGTCTGAAATCTTTATCTAAGTTAATGTTTATTTAAGAACTCAATAGGGAAAATGAATAAAGGGGGTAAATTTCTAAAGAAACTTTGGTGCTGCGTCGGTGAGAGAGTATAGCAGGTAATTGAGTGTTAACAACCGAGTTGAAAACGTAAATCGGCCACCGTAAAGAGTAAAAAAGCTGACGTTTCGAGCGTTAGCCTTTCGTCGGAGTGATTGGAGGAATTGTGGGTTGTGTGGGTTTATATGCAGAGAGTGGAGCTACGCTATTGGTGGGAATATGGTGCCGAGAAAATGGGAATAAATTAGTTGAATGAAAAGCGCTGGACGAAGGTCTCCGGGCCCTCAAACAATTTTGCAATCATGGCACTGTCAAGGAACATAGCTCTGAAACACTACTCCGTTTGACCGAACTAGTACTCACACTCGATTGCTTTTCATTCGGTGGTAACTACTGCAAACAAACTAATGGCGTGGCCATGAATACTAAAATGGGACCTAGCTACGCCAATCTTTTCGTAGGTTTTATTGAACATCCATTTTTTTAGTCAATACCACGGCCCAAAACCTAAACTCTTCGTCCGATTCATTGACGATTGCATCGGCGCTACCTCCTCTACCACAGAGGAACTCACTCAATTTATAACCGTCGTTAATTCCTTTCATCCGGCTCTTAAATATACCTGGGACATTTCCGACACTTCTTTGGCTTTTCTAAACATCCAAATTTCAATTGAAGGCAACAGTTTATGCACTAGTGTTTACTACTAACCTACAGATTCACATAGTTACTTGTTGTATTCATCTTCACATCCATCACACGTCAAGAACTCCATATCTTTTCACAGTTATCAGACTTCATCGATTATGTAGTGACGACTCTGATTTTTCAGAAAAATCAGAGGCAATGTGCCAGTTTTTCGATAAACGTGGCTATCCTGTTTCTGTCGTTCAAGCGGGCCACCATCGTGCCCAACAAATTGATCGACAGTCAGCATTACAAACGGCTAAGAAGGAAAGCATTGACCGCAGTCCATTTACTCTTACATTTCACCACCACACAGTTAAATCTATATATCATTCTTAAAAACGTTAAATTACTCCAAAACGATTCAGAGACTGGCACTATCTTTTCGTAACCCCCACTTATTTCATTCAAACGTGACAAAAACATAGGCAACTTTTTGGTCAGAAATTCATTTAAAACCAATGACCAATCTGAAACTTTCAATTGTGCTCTCTTACGATACAAAACGTGTCCTTCATTCATAACGTAGAGAAAATATCGGGACCCAAGTGATCCATTAAGATCACTGATCACTTTCCGTGTACCTCCGCCAATGTTATTTACTGCATAACTTGCACTTATTGCAATAAGTTATACACTGGCGAAACAGGAAGACGACTGGGTGAAAGATTCCGAGAACACCTTCGCGACGTGGAAAGAAATGACAAGGACGCATCCAAACCAGTCGCTAGACACTTTCATATCTCTAATCACTCTAAACAGCATATGGCAGTTTGCGGCCTTTCCTTACATCTAGGCAGCTGGGAAAGCCGCAAAAGACAAGAACAAAAATTTATCTTCCAAATCGGCACCCTTATCTCCATGGAATCAGCGAGCGCTTTTCATTCAATTAATTTATTCCTGTTTTCTCGTGGCCATCATTCCTACCAATAGCGTAGCTCCACTTTCTGCATATAAACCCACACACAACCCATAATTCCTCCAATCGCTCTGACGAAGGGCTGTCGCTTTTTACCCTTTACGGTGGCCAATTTACGTTTTCAACTCAGTTGTTAACACTCAATTACCTAGGGAAATGAATGGTTGAGTTACCATCAAGGCGCAAGATATTTCAAAAGTGTTGTAAATGGTAACCGAAATTCGCTGGACACATCAAAATCAGCAGAGAAAAGTAGGAATAGAAACTGAAATGCTTGTTTCCTCACCTACCGCCCCTTTCCCCCCCCCCCTCCCCGTCATCCTTACTCTTTACAAGATCAAGGCAAGATTTTTGGAGGTAAGCTTGTTTTTACTTCGCACACGTCCTTTACCTGAACGAGAGTAACATCCCAAAAGCCAGGACCAGAAGGGAAACCGTTATGCCCACTGAAGAAAAAAAAATTAATAAAACTTTATTTCAGTGCTGCAATGGCCTCATCTGACATGTCCATAACGTCTAATACGTTAAATTTTCCTAAAGTATTCAAAATATAACTTAACAGAACTTTGTTGTGAACTTATTTTAATCACGCTCAAGCACATCTAAATCAAAATTTTAAATATAAATGATGATAATCTCGGTCTGGTCAGGAGCGCTAAGCTGCTGAAGGCTAATTTAAGTCACCCGCTTAACTCGATTGAAAATAACACATAACCTGCACAAAGCTGTCACTTAGTTGTAAAATGCAATCAATGATTGTCTAATTAATGTATGCCTAGCGACTTATCCCTCAAAATAATCATTTCGTAGCCGTCCAATTAAATATTAAGGAATCACTGCTCTCCGAGAGAACAAGCCATCCAGAAGTACCTTGTGAGCGCTCAAAATAAACCAAATGAAACAGTTTCTTCAAGTTGCTCATCTTGTTTAAGCCAGAAGATAATGGGCACCTCAAAAGGAAACTACGCACAGAGGTTCTGGGACGCGAAACATGACCGGGGGAGAATACAACTACTTCTAAAGCGTTCCGACGTCAACTAGGCGCTGCAGACACAAGTTCTGTAGAAAGCGCCAGGTTAAAGAAATTTTAACTGCTTCTCCAAATAAGTTTGCAAATACCATTTACAATTTCCTTAAACACTCCTGTCAATTGGAATCACTATCTCAACTATCTAAGTCACTATTTCAACTATTTACAGGATTTCGTCTTACCCGTGCCACAGTATTCTACGCAGTCTTTCGCCATCTTTTCCACCTTCAACCCGTCACAGCTGTACTCCTCCGGCACACATGTTCCCTCGATAGTAATCTTACCGCCAGCCCCACTACACTTTTCGCATTCGCCTTTTTTGGCTTTACAGTCCTTGAAGTCAACACCTGTGACATCATTTTGAATCAAAATCAGCGAGCAGAGGGAAAACACAATAATTAACAAACTTTGCATTAATACACCTAAGGCAAAAACTTACTGCAAGGGAGAAACTGCTAAGATCCTAACGTGCCAAGTTTATATTCAGCATTTCAAATATGTCTTAGCTTTTCAAATCAGTTTTACTTTTGTCTTATTTCCATTATTAGCACATACCACACAGGTGAATTGTACTTTTCGCGCGCACTGATTTGTTAGTTCGGGAGAGATTAACGAGTACTATTTACCTCCGTGTGGTCGACTGACAAACTGTATTTTAGGTCAGGAGTATTTCTAATCCACATTATTCAATTACAAAACGATCGACAGGGGAGACATTTCAGTCCTTTAGTCATTATACACTGACCTTTGGGTTTAAATTCAGCACCCTCACTCATAACCTTTAAATCATGAAAGAAACCAGTCTTCAATTTATCTGTAAACACCTCCTCGATCAAACCACCATTTTTCTTCACACCCAAGCATAATTTCGCTTCCACGCCAACTTTGCCGTCTTTTTCCACGAATTTCACTTCTGATACTTTGACGTTGTAGTACTTTTCGGAATCATTGTAAAGGTATTCCATCTACAGGATAGGAGTAATCACGTGAGTGTTAAGGTCATTGTGACGCTCATTAATCAGATATTGGGCATACGAACTCAAATTGCAAAATAAAAACTTGTGTATCCAGTCTGAAACAATAGCACCTCTCCTTTACATATATGTATTCATTTTCTTTTCAGTTCCACCTTCGATTCCCTTAGTGCCCGTGATGATTTACTATCGGTAACCGCCAACCCTACCCCTTCTCCCTTCCCCACACCCCCCCTGCCCCTGCCCCACCTCCCCCCTTCCCCCTTCCCTCCCCTCTGCTCTCTAACCAACTGCCACTGTACATACTTTTCTAAACGATAACATGCTTGGCTAGTTTTTCACAAATATCAGGGAAATCAAACCGTCGAAAGTTTGGTGCCTAAAAATTGAGAAGTAATGCGAGCATATTTCTGGGTTATTGAGCATCAAACAGAGGAATTATAAAGCTGGGTTGGAGCTCCAAATTCATTCGTAGGAACAGTCTTATGAGAAAATCGCGAGAAGAGCAGTTTCAGCCACATTTTTATGACCAATTAGCCTTTACGGCCTTTTTCGTGCTTTCCTCGCTGTAGTTATGGATGAAAAAAATCTTCCATTCGTGACTCTTTTTGGCACAAAAATATTCCAGCTTCGATTTGGGAATTATCTGCCACAAAACTTCACTAAACTGTGACTTAGACCCCTTCTTAGTTTCCTACAATAAAGAAATGTGAAAAGTCAAATCCCTCTTATCGAACAAATGATTGAGAAGTCAGGTTAAACAAAGGGAATGATCTGCTACAAAACTTCACAATAAGAAACGTGAACGTGGATTTCCTCTCATCGAACAAATGATTGAGAAGTCGGGTTAAACAAAAACCAGTAAATGGACTTACTGCCATGGATGTCATGTCTTCCAAAGCTTTGGACTCTTTTGACGTAGAGTTTCCAAGGGATGCATTCCACATTCGGTCTGCCACAAAGTTAATCATCGCACAAGCTAAAGAAGGAACAAACGTTAGCACGCCCTCAAAGGATACGAAAAACATAAATCAAACAATTATGAGTGAATTTGGTGTTAGATCACGATAACAACTTCTACTTGATAAGTTTGAGTATTCTCATCGCCTGTTTGCTGGATGATGTTTGGATATTATGGGGAGAAGTTTAACCTTAATCACTTCTGGGAGGTACAGAGTAAAAGTGCAGGTTCAGGGATGTGCCCTCTCATATCATTAAAAAAAAATTGCCTTATACGTTTATTCTTAGCTTGTTTGTCAACTTTTCAAGAAATTTTTAGACAGAAAACTCAGCAGAATTCTTAGAAATTTTAAGAATATTCGTTTTGTCAACACAAACTGATACTCAAGTTACAAAGAAAATGCCGATTGGTTTGTCTTTGACATAACAGGCGACGTGGAATTAAGTATCACAGACAAATAAGCCCAGAAATGATTAGAAGCATCAAGAAACTGACAAATAAGCTTACTTGGCTTTGTTTCTGTGGTTGGTATGGTGGTCTCTTTTTCTGTGGTACTTTGCGTCGGCGTGATGTGGGTGGGTACTTTTGTTGTAGGTTGTGCTGCTTGTGATGACATGGGCGCCATAGTGTAAGATGCAGTCGGTGATGGCTTTACAACAGTCGAATTCTGTCCCAGGGCTTCTGCAAACCAATGGTTAGATTTGAGAAAGATGAAGAGAGGGGGGGAGGTTGAAAATACGGAGAAGAGGGGGGGGAGAAGAAGAAGATGTTGTTCACATGCACAAGACCTGATTCTTTCTCAGAAACGTGTTGAAAATGAATACAACTCATAGGAGACGAAAGGGGTTAATGGCCAAACTGTTAACTCTCGATCTCGAACTCCAATTGCCGCCATCTATAAACAGTCCAGCGAGTTTTTGAAAAAAGAACAAAATATGTTTACACAAAGTTATGTAACACAAGAAAATAATGATCTTAAATTTATTCCATGATTCATTTCATAGCTTTTGGATTCCAGCGGAGGAAAATTTTAACCAATCAAAAAATATTCTGTCATTCCAAGGACATATTGAAATTTCCTTAGCTCTGCTACCATCTCTCCTTTTATTTTTTTGACAATTTTGTCTGAAAAAGAATGTAGGAATATTTTAGGATGTTGCGTCAGCCGCTGCACAAGCACTTGCCTCATGACAATACTACGATCGAAGTACGTTTAATACCGAGTGATATATTGCCAACCGTTCAAAAGCAAACGCAAATGTCAAGTAAATATAAATATATACATAGCATTCAGTCAAGTAAATAGATGTAACTTAACTCTTTCATAAACATTCATTTTTTCATTACATAGCAACTCTATAACTCTTACGTCATAACGTCAGTTACATGTCGCCAAATACACGTGGCGTGAATGTAAAGCAGGAACCGAGGAAGGCTCCATACATAATCGAAAAACTTTGGTATGGGATGAGCCATGGGAAACGTTTAATGACCCTTTATTCTAGAATAAGGTTTTAGCGTGTCGGTGCTGATTAAAATCTGGTAAGTTTTCTAACATCCTCATAGAGAAAAGTCCTGAAATTTAGTTATTTGCCACCCCTCCCTCTCCACCCACTGTGAAGAGTGGGGGACTTGACCGTGAAAAAAAAGTCAAGACTCGCGACAGTGAAACGTAAAATGAGTCCGCAACAACTCTTTTCTGATAAATCTTAAATACCAAAGGTAACTGACTCAATTTAATGAATAGGGCTAAAGAAATGTTTTCTTTTATAATGCAACCAATCGGTTTTCGTCGAGGACATTTGGTAACCAAAGAAATTGAGGACAACCAAAGTTTGAAACGATGCGCTATTTAGAATGATTAGTTACTGTTCCGTTTATGCGACCAAAAGATGCAACTAACATTGCTTCTCAGTCGCTATGACCTCTTCAAAGCTATTATAGGTTGAAAAACAACTAAATCCACTAAATCCACGTTCTCTAAAAATAAAAACGGGAAAATGACTTCTGAGATCGAAATTAGGATGCCTACAACAGAAACCAACGATAAACGTATTCAGATCTTTAACTTTTCTGTCCGAAAGGTAGAGCGGAGGAAACTTGACATTTCGTTGTTTGCTCTTCGCTTTAACATGTTCCCAAAGAATCCTACTGATAGGTCGATCTCAGCATTTAAATGTTTCTCAGTTGCTTCGCATTAAGTGAAAGAGTAATTCAAGAGAAACTGTTTTCTTTCATAAGGCGAAAACGTCATGACTCATCCTTCTTGTAAGTCCACGACGAGAACGCGTTAAATTTTACCGACATACCTTGTGCGAAGGATAACCCCACAAATATGAACACAGTTATGTGCTCAGGAAACATGTTTCCAGCGACTGATTAGTTCGAAACGAAGCAAAGCAAGCGGTGAACACAACTTTTTAACAGCGTCCTCTAAGAAACGTGACACCTAGTACCTTGGACATTAACTTCCGTGTTTACCTGCTTTGTTTTGGCGTAACCATGGTAACACATTGACATACTCTTGAAGATAGGTAAAACAGCTGTCGGTATCAGTTGAGAGTACTGAGATCACATTTCTTATGCGGGGTTGATGGAGAGACGAATGTTTCTAACCTAGTCAGCCTGAATGATTGGAAATGCTGACGTCAAGTCTGTGGTTGTCTGCATTTTGTAATACTTGCAGACATTTTGACAAAGAATTATTTCATTTAAAAGCTCTCTAACGACACCTCATCTTACGAACAGTCGATCAACTAAGATTTTCCTTGGAAAACATTCTCTCATCGAGTTTACGCACAAAAACAGCGGCGGTTACACTCGGTTGAACGATACATTGTACATCTGTCGAATTCAATTCAAGAATATGCACTAAATGCAAATAAAATGCAATGTCTCTTTGAATTAAGTTTGGCAGTTTCGAATCAGATGACATTTCCTGATCTGCATCTTCGACTAAGCCAATCAAATATTCGCAGGAGCACTCTAGATATTCGTCAATAGTGTTGGTTGACGTTTCAATAAAAGGTTTGACCGTACGAGTGCCGAATCGAATGCGTAATTAGATTTACGTTCATGTATACCATATCTATTTAAAGGCAATTAGCCAAGTCCTGCATAAAGAATCTTTTCTCATCTGTAGAAGCCGAGAGAAGTACTACCAAAGACCAGAAACATTGAAAAGATTCTATCATTTTCCACGTGCTGGAAGCATTTGGCGCTTTCGCTTCTTGCATTCGAAATAAAAAGAAACCGTTTCAGCGTCAGTGCGTAAAATGAAGCATTTCAATCTGCTTCAGTTCTAGAAGTAAAATCTTATAATATTAGTCGACCCATATGGGAGTATTTTCATTTAAACTGCACTGATATCGGGTGATTTGAAAAACTTCTCTTTAGACAGACCATGTAAGAGTCCTCATGAGGTCACGCAATCTCCGAAAGATGTACACCAAGGAATAGAAAATTGAGCACAGCTCGTTGTTGAACACCACTTGCGACGTGTAAAGTTGCATTTGAACAGTATTAAGTATTACAGAAACAGTTTAATATTTCAACAGTGCTCCATGTAAGATAATAATGCCGGCATTATCTTCTTGACCGTCTGGCGAGAGTAGGCGTCGTTCGGCTTGTCTTATTTTTTATGTCTCCATGGAAATAACCCAGTTTCGGACAGTTTCGGTCTGGGGAAAGCGGTTACACACATAAACGTCCTTGTCCGTGGGCAAACGCCATTTGCCCATGGGTAAAATGGCTAGTGTAACCACGACTAATGGTTGAAGAAGATAAGCAGAACCTTGATGCAAGTGAAACGAGACGATGGTAGTCGTCAGCGGTGTAATTTTTCAGAACATGTTCTCGAAATATACAAACTCCAACAAACATTTGCATCACTTTGTTGCTGTAGGATTGTTGCATGGATTTTTGTCGCATATCCCTGATGCATGTTACAAGAGTATACTTGTTTTAAGAGAGCCGTCGGTAACGATTTCTTTCAACGCAACAATATTGAATAAGAGACCGCGAAAGGTCTCGATTTAAATTGATGGTAAATATTCTTGGTTGTTTTGTTTAATTATTTATAATTTATTCTGTAGTATGTACGATGAATGACTTTATTTGTTCCATAACAATGGCTTTGTTATCTTCCAGGCACACAAACCTGACTTCCCTTTTCTTGTATTATTTGACGAGTGGCTCAATGATTTTTTTTCATGTATCAAAATTATTTTTCTTACTGATGAGGGATCTAACTGAAGTTTTAAGTTGCAGTAAATTAAAGGCTGATCACTTGAACCTAGCCAAGATCGATCTTTGTGCTACAAGCAAATAATTTTTTTAGTTTTATTCTGAAAACGTGTAAAGGCTTAGGGTTCAAAATAACTGACGTCTCACGGTTTCAAACCCTTAAGGTCGTTTAACTGTGGTCATAGCTAGAGGTGACAAGCTGAAATTACAGGTTTATACGAGCGTTTCATGTTTCTTTCGCCTATTTTGCATGACAGCGGTTGCTACTTTCCTGGGAAATTTTTGCGCGAGAAATTGACGAGCAGCCAGTCATAGATATTGATCCCCCGGCAAATGCCCTCCGTTTGACTGCAGCGTCAGCTCATTCACCCCAATCCATACCAGATTCCCACCAATCCAACCTCAATTTACTCTTACGCACCTTTATCCATCAAAATTCACTTTAAACTACCACAATTGATTTTATTTCTGACAAAACGTTTTCAATCTAATCAATTCATACTTTTACTGCGAAGAATTCTAAATTTACTTCATTTTAATTGACTTATGTTAGCCCAAGCTTCCGCGGGGTGTTATCCAATCATTATGGGTTCTTGTGTTCACCCCAGGGCATCAATTTGTCAAGGGTTTATCTTATGGAAAAAACTCAAGGAGTTATCGGATTTGAAATTTGGAAAAAGTTAAAAAATTATAAGCAGAAGCGCTCAACGGAGTTGAACCTCGACGTACAGTAGCCTGCGATCCTAGGGTTGTAACCAGAAAGGTCAGGGTGACATGAAAGACGCCAACCATAGCTGCGACCTTACTCTATTGATATTGCAGAATGAAAAGCGTCTGAAAATAAACGGTGTACTAAGGGGAGGGGGGGTTGCTAAGGTAAATGACGCCATTTCTTTTCATTAGAAAATTATTACCATTTCTTGGAAAATTAACAATCTCTGAAAACGAAAAAAATATATTCCATGCCCCCAAATGCTCATTTAGACTCTAATGTAAGTACCCTCTATTCAATATGGATTTAAAACTAGCGTCGTTCTATCACAACTCTAGCAATCTGATTGGCTAAGTTACCATCGTCAACTATCACGTAATCTAGAGCTCCCCCTCCCCACTCTCCTTTAAACAGATACTCCAGAAGTGAAATATCATCTTAACAGGGAACTGAAACAGCTTAAGACGGGATGTTTACGCACAGCTAAAAGTCGAAACATCAACATCTTCATATAAAGTAAAAGTGACCACAGCAGATCAAAAAAGAGACGATTGTGCAGCATAGTAAGCCGTAAGCTTTACATAATAAGCTAAATTACGCGCACGTTTTGGTTGGTTCTTTCATGTGATCTATTGGAACACGGACGCATTGATGACGTCACCATCAGTAATGTTTTGGCTCTTTATTGCAGATTCCATGTTGCCGTGGGTCTGTACAGTAAAGGATCACAAAAAAAAGGCCTTAATGTGGTGGGAAGCTCAGTGACGCACTTAACAGAAGTATGGCAACACGGAATCTATATGTGAAACAGTTAATGGACTCAAAGTTTTAGAAAACAGGCAGTTAAATCTTTCAAAAAAGTTTAAGAACGACATCACATTGTCCGGTATACGTGAGATTTCTAATGCATCACTTTTCTGTCTACTGACTACTAAAATACTCGATTCATAAATAGAAAGTAACTGAAATCTTGTTTCCTTGTTTTGAAGGTCTGATGTTCCCCATGGCAATGTCCAAATCCATTCAGCACCTACTGCGAACTGAAAAAACAGAGTGGAACCAAAACAAAAAGCGGAAAAATTTTAATATGCCTGCGTTGCTGCTTCATCAAGCAAGTTGAACAGGGATCAAAGGGTTTTCTTACTACAAGTCATATATGTTGGGAATCCAATTCCACTGATGTAGGTTTTCAGAAAAAGGGAAAAGAAAGGAGGAAGGGTATCTAAGATAAATTAAACGGAAATTGTCTGAAATCTTTATCTAAGTTAATGTTTATTTAAGAAATCAATAGGGAAAATGAATAAAGGGGGTAAGTTTCTAAAGAAACTTTGGTGCTGCGTCGGTGAGAGAGTATAGCAGGTAATTGAGTGTTAACAACCGAGTTGAAAACGTAAATTGGCCACCGTAAAGAGTAAAAAAGCTGACGTTTCGAGCGTTAGCCCTTCGTCGGAGCGATTGGAGGAATTGTGGGTTGTGTGGGTTTATATGCAGAGAGTGGAGCTTCGCTATTGGTGGGAATAATGGTGCCGAGAAAATAGGAATAAATTAGTTGAATGAAAAGCGCTGGACGAACAATTTGGCGATCATGGCACTGTCAAGGAACCTAGCTCTGAAACACTACTCCGTTTGACCGAACTAGTACTCACACTCGATTGCTTTTCATTCGGTGGTAACTACTGCAAACAAACTAATGGCGTGGCCATGAGTACTAAAATGGGACCCAGCTACGCCAATCTTTTCGTAGGTTTTATTGAACATCCATTTTTTTAGTCAATACCACGGCCCAAAACCTAAACTCTGCATCGGCGCTACCTCCTCTACCACAGAGGAACTCACTCAATTTATAACCGTCGTCAATTCCTTTCATCCGGCTCTTAAATATACCTGGGACATTTCCGACACTTCTTTGGCTTTTCTAAACATCCAAATTTCAATTGAAGGCAACAGTTTATGCACTAGTGTTTACTACTAACCTACAGATTCACATAGTTACTTGTTGTATTCATCTTCACATCCATCACACGTCAAGAACTCCATATCTTTTTCACAGTTATCAGACTTCATCGTTTATGTAGTGACGACTCTGATTTTTCAGAAAAATCAGAGGCAATGTGCTAGTTTTTTGATAAACTGTTTCTGTCGTTCAAGCGGGCCACCATCGTGCCCAACAAATTGATCGACAGTCAGCACTACAAACGGCTAAGAAGGAAAGCACTGACCGCTGTCCATTTACTCTTACATTTCACCACCACACAGTTAAATCTATCATTCTTAAAAACGTTAAATTACTCCAAAACGATTCAGAGACTGGCACTATCTTTTCGTAACCCCCACTTATTTCATTCAAACGTGACAAAAACATAGGCAACTTTTTGGTCAGAAGTTCATTTAAAACCAATGACCAATCTGAAACTTTTTAAATGTGCTCTCTCACGATACAAAACTTGTCCTTCACTCATAACGTAGAGAAAATATCGGGACCCAAGTGATCCATTACGATCACTGATCACTTTCCGTGTACCTCCGCCAATGTTATTTACTGCATAACTTGCACTTATTGCAATAAGTTATACACTGGCGAAACAGGAAGACGACTGGGTGACAGATTCCGAGAACACCTTCGCGGCGTGGAAAGAAATGACAAGGACGCATCCAAACCAGTCGCTAGACACTTTAATATCTCTAATCACTCTAAACAGCATATGGCAGTTTGCGGCCTTTCCTTACATCTAGGCAGCTGGGAAAGCCGCAAAAGACAAGAGCAAAAATTTATCTTCCAAATCGGCACCCTTAATCTCCACGGAATCAGCGAGCGCTTTTCATTCAATTAATTTATTCCTGTTTTCTCGTGGCCATATTCCTACCAATAGCGTAGCTCCACTTTCTGCATATAAACCCACACACAACCCATAATTCCTCCAATCGCTCTGACGAAGGGCTGTCGCTTTTTACCCTTTACGGTGGCCAATTTACGTTTTCAACTCAGTTGTTAACACTCAATTACCTAGGAAAATGAATGGTTGAGTTACCATCAAGGCGCAAGATATTTCAAAAGTGTTGTAAATGGTAACCGAAATTCGCTGGACACACCTGAAATCAGCAGAGAAAAGTAAGAATAGAAACTGAAATGCTTGTTTCCTCACCTACCGCCTCTTTCCCCCCCCCCCCCCCGTCATCCTTACTCTTAAGATTTTTTGGAGGTAAGCTTGTTTTTACTTCGCACACGTCCTTTACCTGAACGAAAGTAACATCCCAAAAGCCAGGACCAGAAGGGAAACCGTTATGCCCACTGAAAAAAAAAAATTTAATAAAACGTTATTTCAGTGCTGCAATGGCCTCATCTGACGTCTAATACGTTAAATTTTCCTAAAGTATTCAAAATATAACTTAACAGAACTTTGTTGTGAACTTATTTTAATCACGCTCAAGCACATCTAAATCAAAATTTTAAATATAAATGAAGATAATCTCGGTCTGGTCAGGAGCGCTAAGCTGCTGAAGGCTAATTTAAGTCACCCGCTTAACTCGATTGAAAATAACACATAACCTGCACAAAGCTGTCACTTAGTTGTAAAAAGGAAACTACGCACAGAGGTTCTGGGACGCGAAACATGACTGGGGGAGAATACAACTACTTCTAAAGCGTTCCGACGTCAACTAGGCGCTGCAGACACAAGTTCTGTAGAAAGCGCCAAGTTAAAGAAATTTTAACTGCTTCTCCAAATAAGTTTGCAAATGCCATTTACAATTTCCTTAAATACTCCTGTCGAATGGAATCACTATCTCAACTATCTAAGTCACTATTTCAACTATTTACAGGATTGTGTCTTACCCGCGCCACAGTATTCTACGCAGTCTTTCGTCATCTTTTCCACCTTCAACCCGTCACAGCTGTACTTATCCGGCACACACTTTCCCTCGATAGTGATCTCACCGCCAGCTCCATTACACTTTTCGCATTCGCCTTCTTTGGCTTTCCAGTCCTTGAATTCAACACCTGTGACATCATTTTGAATAAAAATCAGCGAGCAGAGGGAAAACACAATAATTAACAAACTTTGCAGTAATACACCTAAGGCAAAAACTTACTGCAAGGGAGAAACTGCTAAGATCCTAACGTGCCAAGTTTTTATTCAGCATTTCAAATATGTCTTTACTTAACTTTTCAAATCAGTTTTACTCTTGTCTCATTTCCATTATTAGCACGTACCACACAGGTGAATTGTACTTTTCACGCGCACTGATTTGTTAGTTCGGGAGAGATTAACGAGTACTACTTACCTCCGTGTGGTCGACTGACAAACTGTATTTTAGTTCAGGAGTATTTCTAATCCACATTATTCAATTACAAAACGATCGACAGGTGAGACATTTCAGTCGTTTAGTCATTATACACTGACCTTTGGGTTTAAATTCAGCACCCTCACTCATAACCTTTAAATCATGAAAGAAACCAGTCTTCAATTTATCTGTAAACACCTCCTCGATCAAACCACCATTTTCCTTCACACCCAAGCATAATTTCGCTTCCACGCCAACTTTGCCGTCTTTTTCCAAGAATTTCACTTCTGATACTTTGACGTTGTAGTAGTTTTCGGAATCATTGTAAAGGTGTTTAATCTACAGGATAAGAGTAATCACGTGGGTGTTAAGGTCATTGTGACGCTCGTTAATCAGATATTGGGTATACGAACTCAAATTGCAAAATAAAAACTTGTGTATACAGTCTGAAACAATAGCACCTCTCCTTTACATATATGTGTTCATTTTCTTTTCAGTTCCACCTTCGATTCCCTTAGTGCCCGTGATGATTTACTATCGGTAACCGCCAACCCTACCCCTTCCCGCTTCCCCACACTCCCCTTCCCAATGCCCCACCTCCCCCCTTCCCCCTTCCCCACACTCCCCTGCCCCATGCCCCACCTCCCCCCTTTCCTCTTCTCTCCCCTCTGCTCTCTAATCAGCTGCTGTTGTATATACTTTTCTAAACCACAACATGTTTGGTTAGGTTTTCACAGATATCAGGGAAATCAAACCGTCGAAAGTTTCGTGCCTAAAAATTGAGAGGTGATGCAGGCATATTTCTGAGTTATTGAGTATATTTAAGTCTCCAATGAGTTATTGAGCATAATTCTAAGTTATTGAGCATCAAACAGAGCTGGGTTGGAGCTCCAAATTCATTCGTAACAACAGTCTTTTGAAAAAATCGTGAGAAAAGCAGTTTCAGCCACATTTTCATGTCCAAATAGCTTTTACGGCCTCTTTCGTGCTTTCCTCGCAGTGGTTATGGAAGAAAAAATCTTCCCTTGGTGACATTTTTGGCATGAAAATATTCCAGTTTCGATTTGGGAATGATCTGCGACAAAACTTCACTAAACTTTGACTTGGACTCTACAATAAGAAACGTGAACGTGGATTTCCCCTCATCGAACAAATGATCGAGAAGTCGCGTTAAACAGAAACCAGTAAAATGGACTTACTGCCAGGGATGTCATGTCTTTCAAAGTTTTGAACTCCTTTGAGTCAGGCTCTGTAAAGGATGCATTCCACACTCGGTCTGCCACAAAATTAATCATCGCACAAGCTGAAGAAGAACAAACGTTAGCACGCCCTTAAAGGATACGAAAACATAACAATAAGAGTGAATTAACAGTACATTAGGATTTAACAACAAACTTCAATTTCATCGACTGAATCTTTTAATCAGCTGGATTTGTCGTCATGCGCACAAAAAAACTATATTTGATTTAATTTTGGTCGCCAAAGCACATGCATAATGCGACTTCTGAATCATATTCCGCACCTCTGCCGTTCAGTAACCTTTAACTCCCTGAAACTTATTACTTGAGAATTCTCCCCTCTTGCTGCTACACATTTCTTTGTAACAGAATTTGTCATGAGAATTTGGTGTTAGATCAAGATAACAACTTCTATCTGATAAGTTTGAGTATACTCATGACCTGTTTGCTGGATAATTTATGGATATTATAGGGAGAAGTTTTTCCTTCATCACTTCTGGGAGGTACAGGGTTAAAGTGCATGTCGATGGATGTGCTCTTGTTTTTAACTTTTCAAGATATTTTAGACAGGAGACCGGGCAGAATTCTCAGAAATTAAAAAAAATAATTAGTTTTGTCAACAAAAACAGACAATCAGGTTACAAAGAAAATGCCGATTGGTTTGTCATTGCCTTGAAAGGCGACTTGGAAATAGGCATCACAGACAAGTAAGCCCAGAAATGATTAGAAGCACCAAGAAACTGATAAATAAGCTTACTCGGCTTCATTGATTCTGTGGTTGGTGTGGTTTCCTCTTTTTTTGTGGTACTTTGCGTCGGCGTGGTGTCGTTGGGTGCTTTTGATGTAGGTTGTGGTGCTTGTGTGGACATGGGCGCCATAGTGTAAGATGCAGTCGGTGATGGCATTACAAAAGCGGTCGAATTCTGTCCCAGAGCTTCTGCAAACCAATTGTTAGATTTGAGAAAGATGAAGAAGAAGAAGAAAAAGAGGAAGCAGTTGTTCACGTGCACAACACCTGACTCTTTTTGAGAGACATGTGTTAATTGATGAATAAATTTTATAGGAGACCAAAGGGGTTTAAAGCCAATCCGTTAGCTCTCGATCTAGAACCTAAATGCCGCCATTTATAAACAGTCCGGTCTCAATTTTCAAAAATATTCAGTTATTCTATTTTTTTTCATGCAGTTTTATAATTTTTCAAGTTTTCTTTCCAAAGGGTTTGAATCGAGTTATTATGGAACAGCAAGTTTTTGAAACAAGAACATGTATATGTTTACACAAAGATATGTAACTCAAGAAAATTTTAATCATAAATTTGTTCCATGACTCATTTGGTAACTTTTGGATTGCAACGGAAAAGAATTTTAACCAATCAAGAAATATTCTGGTATTCCCAGAATTTTGACTAACCTACTAATTTTCCAAGTCTCGCTTTCGATGCATCGTATATTGCTAAGTAAACAATTAACATCATCGAAGTTTTGCACTCTCCTTAGCTTTGAATCCATTACTCTTCATTAAATGCAGTATTAATTTAAATATAACATGTGCATGCGGGTCGCGACAGTTTCACGAAAGTCCTTTTAGCGGTGCGAGGAATTACTCGGAGAGCGATACAATAGTTTGTTAGAGAGAGAGAAACGTGATAAGAAATATGAAGCCTACATCAGATGGAAATGAAGAAGCCCATTATCTTTTGCTAAAGATGACCATAAAATCACTCAGTGTGGTGTGAACCTTCAAATGGAATCGTCACAAAACCGTCAAACAGTTCTTTAACCGAACTTCAGTATGAGAAGCTTGTGCAGGAGGCTTGGAGTCGTTATCTCCGGTACTCGAAAAAAATTAGCACTTCAAAAGCAGATTGACCATTGCTAAAGACGACAGAAATGATATGAGGGTATGATAACAGCATATTCAGCGCTGGAATATGCTGTGCGGCTGTTTCGAATAGTCATCCTTTAACCTGGGGATGATTTGAATTATCCTTTAGCTTTTCTGTCGCATTTTCACTCCTCAGGGAGCAGAATAGATGAGCTGTATACAAAAATATATACAATAACGCTAACCTGAAGTAAAGAAGGCCAGTAGAGTAAGTGCAGTTGTCGGTAAGGAAAACCGTGACATGTTTTCACTCCTGAAGATTTTTCTGAACTTAAAAAAGTTACACAAATTTACACTGCGGCAGGTGCACGAACAGGGTGTTTTTCAAAACCGAGGACCAAAGGTTGAATTTGGTTGTCGTTGCTTCACCCTTCAGCGATGTGTTTTGTTTTCTGTTTTGACGTTTCTATGTATTTAAGGTTCACCACTGGCATTGCTGAATTTGATAGTCATGTGCTGAATGCATCAAAGTGTCACCGAAAAGTCAATATCTGGAGAGAAAGCACCCACGGATTTTATCTTTGGCCAATGCAAGGCGAATCTTTTAATCAAATCAGCAGCTTGTACGATGCTAACATAAACAGATGGTCATTGAATGTCATGATATTCCTTGACATAAACTTTCACGCGCAGACAACATTTACATTTAGACTATCATGTGTAAACAAGTTAACAACGACAAAGTAACAACGTATAATATACGATGCCTTCTGCATGCATGTTTGCTGTTTTAGGAGCTGTACTCTTCAAGATTAGCATTTGAGGAACGCTGTTTTACGTCGGAGTTTCCTTCAAATTTTAATGAACGCACAAATAATGGAGTTTGTGGAAAATATCAAAACAAACTGATAACAACGCAAAAATTAATTTAAATGGTAATGGACCAAGATTAATGTAAATCATGAATGAGTGAATAAGATTCCAAAATCTACTAGGTTTTTCGCAATACATTGTCAAGCTATTACGTAATTTCATGATAACAGTTACTATTTATAAGCCCCTCTCTGTAATTTCACAAATTTCTTACATGAGGATAACCTGTGATAAGTTATTACTGCCTGACAAATTACCGCGGTAATAAAAATTGGACAAAACTTTTCCGCTGATTCAAGTCTAAGCTCAGATGATTCCAATGGTCTTCCTCGTTCAAGAAACCCAATTAAACAAGGCGAAGTTTTTTGCGCAGAACACCTGTATAAGATGATTTTGTTGGGCACTTTCATGTACTCTCCAATTGACGTCATGATTTAAGAGATGCCACATAAAAGCCATCTTCACAGCCTGAGGTGATCCTCTCGATACCTCGGCAAACAGCCATTGCAAAAGTTTCATAGTCCAATGGAGGAAGACAACAGAAAAAAAGGAAAGCAAAAGAAAAAGGAAAAGGAAAAAGAAATGAAACCTATCAGAAACGCTTTCCTTCAAATCGACAGTTTCGCTATCCACTTTCAGCGTGCCGAGCTTTCCGTCCCTTGTGATTTGCAGCAGTGTATTAAAGGGATCTGTAGAGTCTAAGAGAGCAGCTCCGAAAAGAAGTCCGTAAAAATCAGTCCTTAAAAGCGACCTCGAGCTAGAAAAAAGTTAAAAATAGTTCGGCATTATTGAAATGATTTGACATCATTTGGCCAGCCATCATGGATTCAATAAGCTCTAAAATAAGTTAAATTCCCATGGCAGGCTGAGTGGCTTTTAAATTTTACAAAAACTTTATTTATTATTTTTTTTTTATAAAAGCTATTCATAAATTACTTTGGCCGACAGAGTTAAGGTGATCAAAGACCTAGCCTTTTACAGCCGTTTGAACCGTAAATATGTGTGTTGTGTTGCTGCTACATAACGACAACTCCTTATAAAAAGGGCAGTGAATCAACAGACTAAGAAAATCAATTTTCTGTCAGAAGGGATTGATCGATTTCGTCTTGGTTTTTAAGTGTTTGTTACAATAATGAATCACGGCTTTAACGCTATCAAGCTAGAACATCCGAACTTGCATTTAATTACATAGCGTTTACATATCATGTAGAGTTTCCAGGAATTTTCATACTCTTCCTGTGTTCAAGAGGTTAGTACACTTCTTTTTTAATTCCAGAGTTGTCCTGGTTTAGAGGATCACGGGCTTACAAGTCTTGGTCACTTTTGTACTCATCTTTCCAAGGAAATTCAGTAAATGTAACACTGATTTGAAAATTCCTCTCTACGAAAAAAAGTAATGAATATGACATTTTAGTCTCTGAAATATTGTTAGTGATGAATAATCTTCATTGACTTGGGTTGCTTCCCTCAATTCCATAAACTGTAGGTAATCTTCCGCATGTTTTTTTTTTAGAAAATGCGCAAAACTTTATTGATGGAAGCGCTTTCACATACTTAAATACCTAATACTTATAACGCGCGCATATTTATTCGCATATGCTCATATCGACGTAAATGATTCTATATCGAGCATGATTTTCCCTTCTTATCACTTACATAAGCTAACATGGCGCCCAAAAAAGAGAAGTTCTCCTCTCTGACGCGTTCATGTTCAAACTGAAATCCCTGACGAGGAGAGCAATTGCGGTTTCGAATCCAAGATCTGTGAAAATCGGAGGCGCCGTTTGGAGGAGCAGGGGGATTCGGGGGACACCCCTTCCCCCTGAAATTTAAAAATTTCAGCGTTCGGAAATGTGATCTCCGTCTTTCAAGGAACAATTTAATGAATTCAAATGATCCGCTGAAATGTTAATCATTGCATTTTTCCCCCTTGATTGCGATTTGCTTTCTTGGATAACAATAAGAATTCAAAAGACGATAATTAAATAGTTATTCAATTAATTATTTTTCGCCCCTTTTCAGTTGTCTTAGATTACGGCCGGGGATTCGGCTAACCCCCTCCCCCCTTTCCCCGAAATCCACACGTCTTGCCCAGGTTTACCAAAGCATCTCTGGAAGTTTGTTGGACTAACTTAATTTGTTTTTTTCGAGGCTATCTTACAAAATGAAACTCTAATTTACGGTGTTCAAATAAAACATCCTCCTACGGTTGATGAAATACTAGTGTCTGACACAGATTAAGAGAAGAAAAGCTTGACATACTTTATCTCACTCTGAAATTTGAGTCAGAAATTTATTTTATTACAAATTGTGATGCGTCAGTCGGTCATTCACTTTCGGACAGTAAATCCTTCGTCGCTGGGCCTGCCTTTTATTCCCTCTAAATGCGTTAAGAGAAGGACTGACATTTTTGCAGAAGACGTAATTACTTCCACGCGCTTCGGTGAACTTGGACAAGATCGCACTTAAGTGGCGATATGTATATATATACCCTAGTTGTATCATTTCGCTTTTGCTACCCTTAGCTAGCTCGTACCAATTAGAGCTGTTACAATTTTTTTCTTCAGGAATAATTGTAACGTTGTTCACGGCAACGTGAACTTTATAATGACATCTGATTTCGCTTCATTTCATTTTCTGCTTCTGGTTCACGAGGAAGGAAAAGGCTGAAATGAAAAAATTTATTAAAAGGTATCTACTCACCAATCTTCTCAGAATGTTACCAAACAGGCTGCTAGTATAGACACTGTGAGAGGAATGGGATGTATTTTCTGTTCTAAGTCAGCAAAGTTGATTCGTGAAATTTGCTCCCTCTCCAGAAATGTGCTTTTCTCCTCAAAACACAATTGAAAAACAGACGCTGCAGTACAGTGGATACTACCCGAGTTTTCGTCCTTTGAAAACAACGCAGCCAGGTGTTCGCGGTCACGAGCGTTTCAAAATGGATGCTTGAGGCGTGAGGGAACACGAAAAACAGGTGGAGTACCCTGTACAAGGAATGGCGGGCGTTTTGTTCGACCACAAATTACAACAAAAATAGGGAGTGTACTTGCTAATCGATCATGATTGATCATGTTATTTATTAATCAACTGCACAAAGTAGAGTACAGCTAACGCGCGAATAGAGCACAAACACGGTTATTTGGACGGTTGGTTTACAGTAAAAAACCTGTTTAACCAGTCGGGTGCGCGCGCTACGCTTCTCTATCCGCTTTGCTTTTCCCACCTTATGAGGAATGAGCAGAATGACTTAGCAAAAAGGAGAAGCAGTTGGAAAATAAATGACTTATTAGATGTTTTAGCGTGTAGTATCGCTGAGTATTTTTATTATTTGTTGGTGTTTTGACTCGCCCTCGAGGCACAACTCGTAAATACGGCCCATCTCGTAAAAGTACTCAGCGATACTTCACACCAAAACGTCTAATAAAATATGTTTATTATATACTAAAACAAACGATAGCTTTGAAGGCGCACTCTGGTTGACCACTCAAACTTCCATTATGCATTGCTATTCACCTCCGAGCATTTGCGAGCAGGATTCATGCCAAAAAAAAAAAACCCAACATATCAGTGAAAGAACACGGTGACGAATGGAGGATCACTTGATAACAATACTGTCTGGTCAAGGAACACTTGCTGTTGTTTTCCCTTCGGACAATATACACCAAACAGGTACCAACCAATAATGCAAGCTAACTTCAGTCGATATTCTTTGTTTTATTTATGTCTGTTACCAACTTTCCTGTGTAAATTATATCGATAAAAATATAAATTTGATTTTCTTATTTTCTATTTCAAAAGACATTATTTTTGCGGAATTCCTAAGATTTTCTCGGCGTAACAATCATGGAACGCATTTACGTATCCGCACACAGTCTGTGGTAAAACAAGGTTCCATAATTCTGTATTGTACAAACATTTCTATTTATAAACCAGATATCTTTACCTGCAAATGAAATTTCTTTACAATGCCACAAAAACTTTAATTTCTGTTTTACCTCTTGGATTACTCATAACCAAGAATATTTCGTCTTTGGGCTGTTTGGCTTCAAAACCCTCAAACTTCTGAACGTAATCTAGAGTACAGACACTCAGTAATTCTCAAGCCTTCGACTCTGGAGGAATGGAAAAAGTTTTCTAACTCACTGCAATTTACTCTGGCAAAAAGGTGAATATTTTGACATCGTCAACTACACAGCGACTAGCGCTGTTTTAGGTCGCTGGATCGTTGTCTGCTTCCAGTTTCGCGGGATCTTCACACGTAGCAAGAGCCATACGGTGAATCTCCGGTCTCATTTTGGATGGGGCTCCGCCGCGCTTAGGAACACTGCACACTTGTCTGTGCACCCAAGGAGCGTTAACCTTCCACACCTCTCGACCCACTGATACAGCTCCCTTATGGATTTGATCCATGTTGAGCATCAGGAACTACAATCTCCGTCGCTAATCCCATTCACGGTTATACGTAGGGTAGTTTTGTCCGTGTCACCGCCAAGCGTTGGGACTTGGGTTTTTGTTTCTTAGCTCGTGGTTTGCGGTTAGCTCGACACGACAGAACAGCGCAGTAAATAACGATCAAAGTTGAGAAGAAAACCACGTACATTGGTAAGGTGGAAAGGACACTAATGTTGACCGCGGGAAGTTCATCCGGGTCTGAATCTGCTACATCCGGATACGGGGCCACACGCTGCACGTGACGAGGCACTATCACGGGTAACTGTAAAACAATTGAAACGTTTTAAAAATGTTAGATGATTTAATTGATTCTGAAACGTGGCCACAGTTAAAATATTTTGAAATTGCCTGACTTTTCCCCGACAGACGCAAAATTTCTCTGCAAAATAAAATTCTCAATTTTAATTGGCCTTCAACCACCACTCACATCCTCTTAACCATCACTCACCATCCTCTTAACACTTTAACTCCCAGATCAAATTTGTAATTCTCCTTACCGTCAAGCAGACAATTCTTATGTTAATTAGGAGAATTTAGTATTGAACCAACTAATTATCCCCAAATTGATAGTTTTCTTTATTCTCATCACTTACCTGGTTGATATTGTATTGATGTTGTAAGGAGAAAATCTCTCTTAGTCACTCTTGGGAGTTAAGGGGTTAACACGTAAATTTATGCTTTCAGCGAATTACAACGTACATGAATTGATAGTTCCTTTAAGTAACATGGAATAAGGATTGATTTTCTTGGAAACCCAACATCAGCTTGTCGTTCAATTTCCAAGTTAAATTTCCCCAATCCAACACCTTTCACGTCTGTGAAACATACTGAAGAATTTGAATTGTCTATCCTCGTTTCTTTCTCAATTCCCTCTATTTTCTTTTATAATTTTTATCCCAGATAAATGAAATACACATATCATTTCAACGTTTCCTTTCGTGTGTGGATCATTCTCGGTGACGCAAAAATGATTCAAAACATCGTAAAAACGGATTTTTCGAGACCGTTACATGTACGTTCCCAAAACAATTATTACTGCGAGAAACAGCAATGCTTTTGAATCACTGAACGCAACAATTTCATCCAAAACTTTACTTTCTAGAGTCGACACTTTCCGCTACTTGCAAAAGGACACTACTTATGTTGACTTCACCTAAGATAAGCCTCTCAAATTTCAACCAGTCCAAGCCCATCGAGCTAATAAGAACGAATGAAAGAGAGTGATCTCACCTGATCTAGATTTACAGATAATAGCCATCTTTGCTTGTGAAGGTTTTCTGGGGCCGTTATATTGAGGGGCTCTGGTTTGCTCCACGCCTGAGCGGGACAATCAGGCAACGGGACTGTTTCAATAGCCCCTAGCTGGGTTGCATCCAGGACTTTGGAGTATTTATGGAGATGGTTCCCTGAAAAGAAATCAAAAAGAATCAAGAATGAAACTTCATGAACACAAAGGATTCTATGCAAAATGAAAAGAATATAGTTTTAAGGCTAAAAAATTTAAACAAGGGAAGCTGGGCAATTCAACGACAAGACATTATGACAACACAGAGGTTGGCAATTGATCATATCAACACGTGTCACAAAGTTTCTTCAGCTTTGCAAATATCCTCATTGACTTACCATCCATTCTCTCTGGGGCAGATTCAGAGGGTTTTGGGGGTCCACTGCTGAGATCCTTTAGAACAGGAGACAGAACACGATTTGCAGTGAAGTCTACAAGCAGGTCCAACAACCAGAAACAGTCTGAGGATAAAATTGGTGTTATCAGCTTAGTAAATCAAGTTAAAAATCCCTAAAATTTCTCAGTATTACCTGTAACATACTTCATGAGTCTACCTCTTCGAATACCAGCATGTCAATTTGTAAACAGGGGGAATAGAGAAGGCTAAATAAAAATTTTCTTTATCCATTTTTACTGCCACAGGAAAGCCTGCTAAGGTAAGAGGCCCGGCTGTACTTTCTCGAAAATCATGAATCGCGAACTCAGCTTCTGAGGCTTTACAAAAGTAAAACAACTCGTACCTTTTTCCATATGTGCGTTGTCAAGGCAATTCGAATCACCATACAAAACGATTCTACCACTTTGGAGGCCCGGTACTTGATAAAGCCCCAGAATTGCCACGTCCTCCTCGGTCTTAGTCTCCCCCGTTACAACCTCGTTCCCCTGATGATTCAATTTTTCTTTTATTACGAGACCGTCTGTTGGAAACGAGGCTATGCTTGTTCCGGACGAGTATAACACTGCAATGAAATGAAAAGAGTAGTTGAACTACATATTTTGTTCCGGCGAAGACTTCGAATGCATCCAAGCTGACAAAATTTCAAACTGTCCATCACTGAGAAAGCTAACCCAAAAACTCATGCCTGTGATCAGTACAGGTAACAAAACAATGAAAAACGGTATGTTACAAATACTTTGTATCGCATTACCAACTGAACCAGATGATGTTTCGGCTTTCAAAAGTGAACGTCAACGAGTTCACTTTGCTCCTTAGCAGTGCGTCGAAGCACGAATGACAGGTATAAGTGGTAGAGAGCCAAAAATGACCACACGAAAAATACTGGGAAACTGCGATGACACAAGACATCAATCTTGCATACACTTGCACACAACGTGTATATGTCAAAGCTGAATCCGCAAGTTGTAATATGAGCAAAATGAAATTCCTCATGTCTGAGCAAATTAAAGATTTTTACGAAATAACTAAGAAACTACGCGCACTGGATAAAACCCATCGTTCGTTGTACCAATAAACGTATAGTTATCTTATAAACGCAATAACTGCAATTTCCATCAATTAACCCCTCCCCCTTCCGGGGAAGAAATTGTGGTTCATTGCTTTTATAAAATAGCTATGTGTTTCACGGTACAGTAAACCATGGTTTTCTGAATGATCAGAACGCGCGTGGAAACTCGAGTATTTCAAAAAGATGTCTTCAGTACTCAATATATGATAATCCCGCAGCGTTCAAGAGCCCACGGTAAGAGCCGTTTAAACAATGTACCTTTATTGTCTCCAATGGTAAATTCTCCCTCGTACACTTGATCACTGAAAGCCATATTCCAGTGAGACAACAATGAGTTAATAGCTGGTACATTCACTCCTCCAGTGTCCGGCATCCACCATTGTCTCGTGTTCTCATCGTAAAACTTGATCTTTCTCATGACAGGCACATTGAACCAATCACCAACTACAATCACTGACAGGCCCCTCTCCTCCACATCCTCCCTGAGCTTGGCTACCTCTTCAGCAAAGTATTCCTCTTCGCTATCAACAAGAAGCAACGTGCCTAAAATAAACAAGAGCAGTTCTTCAGTTTGTTCCCATTTACTTTCGCAGCTCTGACATGGATGGTCTGAGAAACTGACAGGTTAAAGGTAGACGGTACACTTACTGTACTTTGAAGCGTCAAAACATGTGAACGGAGCTCCAAGAACTTCTACGAAGTAACCAGCGTTCCTGAGATGCATGTACATATCCTTAAAATTGGTGTGAATATGATCACCATTCCTGAGAGAAAATACACGTCTCACTAATAGACATAACATATTGTTCATCTACCCAAGTAACCATAGAAATTAAGAACTTCCAGAATAACGTAAACAGCCGCTTATACGCTTATACAACTTCGAAAGGGGTTTCAGAGGGCTTAAATTTAACATTTTCTATTCGAGTAACACAGAGTTCGTTTATCTCATAACGAGAAAAGTTAGATGGGGGCTTATATCAAGGGAGACTTGTAATCGTACGAATTTTTTTGTTTACAAGTACAGGGGCCGGTAACCGGGTGGACTTATGGGTGGGGGGGGGGGGGGGTTGATGGGAAGAATTAGAAATGGCAGTTTACGGTATCTCAGATGTACACATTTATGCATTTTGGTGCACGAGAAGCTCCTCTAGGTAACCAAAATTCCTAGGTTAACTTATGCTACTTATGTTATCCATTTTATTTCATCTGACACAAAATTCTACGATCAATAATCACATCTGCTTCACGACTTTACAAGCACCTGATGCACAGATTACCCAATCTGGTTCTCACTCTTCTTTTAACTTCCTTGTGAATTTCCCAGATCCCTTTTCACGCTCAGTACAAATACTTACCAGTCTAACGGGTCGTTTCTCATTTTTAAGTTGTCTCGGGGAAAATATCCTGACGGGTATCGAAGATTATGAAATTGGTCCCACAATAATCGTTTGCTGTGCGAGAATAAAAACGAAAATATTCAAAACCACAAATAACAATTCAAACATTTATCTTGAAGAGCAATTTTCAATTGTGTCGATTAGTAATCAGAGATTTTTTTGCTTTTACTAAACTTTGCTCCGTGATTGGTTAAAAAACTCGCGCCAGTCTCTCAACCAATCAGGTGAAAAACTAAAAACCATCGCAACTTGGTCATTCGTGTTTTCCGGCGCTTCAAGCAGTTTGCTTATTTCGCTTTGAGTTCTTATTGGTTTATGAAAATCTGATGTAAAGCTTTATTTTGATTAATCGCTAGGATTACTTTGGTTTTGGGATTTTTGGACACTCAGTTGAAACTGTTCTATGTACACCATTTGAAAAGAAGTACTAAGGACCCAGCCCTGACCATTCCGAATATTAAAATATCAATTCTCCTCACTGTCTACAAACCTCTTCTTGTAGTTGTCGCTTTGAAAATTTAGTGTTACAGTGACTAAAACGATACCAACTCGTTGATAATTCCCTTTTGTCTTACTTTTCTTATCACTGAACAATATAAGTAAGTTGACATTGTATGAAAAACCTTTTTATTGGTCACATCTAAAAGAGATAGGTTTAAAACGCTTTTCAAGAGCATTCAAGTTGAAATTTAACAAGCGAACTAAAGTGGTTTAGCAATATACACTTCGACGTACCTCCTGGGTGGGGTGGGTATAATTTTAACGCGAACTGGCAGTTTGATTGTGGATCGCCGGGGTTCTATGTCAGATTCCTGAAAACAAAATATAAGCAAACAGAACATTAACGGATAAAACACATCTACGAAGGAAAGAAGTAATAATTCTTCTTGTCGCTTCATGCTTTGAAACCAGGATAAACTCTTGCTGGATGAGCCATTTGGCTCGAGTACACACTTTACTAGGACCTTTTCATTCGACAGCCATATCTCTTGTGGCGATCCAAAATCGTAAATCAAAAAACACAACGCCAATGACAACCTACCTGTGGAGGGGACACGACTGTAAGTGACACGTGACCTTGCGCGATGCCTTCCCATGATTCAGCTTTCTTAGCAGGTGTAATAACTACAGCCAGATATCCAGACCATGGCCACAAGACAGAGGAGTATGAAAATCCGACCTGTAAGAAGTAACTGTCTTAATTAAGATCAAAACCATCGTCCTGTGTTTGCACGTTCACGGGCAAAGTCACTTTCAAAAACTACATTAAATGTCGGTGTGCTTCGTCTCAGAGTATTATAAATAAACAAACTAAGATAGCGACACACATTACAATACTCTGTGCAACTTAAGATGCAAAATAAGGCAACAAGCCATGCCTCTTTGTCTATTGAACTGAATAAGCTGCAACGATTTATGTGCATGTAGATCCCACACAACAATTGGTAACACTCAGTCTATTTAGTATATAAGCTATTTAAGGATAACTCCTCGATTGCCCAAAAGAACTATCACTTAGCGAAAGGGCGAGCAGTAAACAGTCGTGAAATTTTGGAAGCACTCTATCTAGTGGTGAAACACTTTCCTCTGATTTATCAAGTTTATTTGTTTTCTTAACTTCTGTTAATAACGCACATCATCAGGTTAATTTCCCTTAACCTTACAATTCGCCACTCGAACCCTGTTACGTTACAGTGTTTCTCAAACAGCGCTTGGCCCCGAGCGAACACTGTATTGCAGGTTACAAGTAAAGAATTACAGTAAGTCACGCAAGAGTTAAACTGAAGCTTAAGCAGCAGAGGGTATTGCAATCTTACCTGGATATAGTCGCCATTCTGTGGTAAATAAGGATGCCACGTCGGCTGTGGGAGAGTACAGAGATAAATTTAGGTAACATGAACATGAACTGAAATTATCACAGCAATAAAGCCCTATTCCCCCTAGTGAGAAATTTCCCAAGGTAATTCATATCAAAGCAACAGAACGCTTTTCGATTGGGTGCCGTGAAACCAAACTGAAAGTTATCACTACGACCAATCAGATGAGAAGACAATACTCTAGAGAACCAATGAGGACTCAGGGTAAAACAATGAAAACTTCCCAAAGCGCGGGAAAACGCGGGTGACCAAGTTGAGATAGGTTTTTGTTTTGCATATGATTGGTTGAGAGAATTGCGCGAATTTTTTGGGCCAATCACAGAGCGAAGTAAAGAAAAACTAATGCAAACCTTGATTACTTTCGACAATCAATTGAAAACTGCTCTAAAAAGAAAAATAACGAACAAACCCAAAATCAAATAATGAAAAATATCAAGGGCACCACAACTTACTTTCCCTTCAATTTGCCCAGTTACACCCATTCCGTTCAAAATGGTGATCTGTAAACAGAGACAAAAATAACCAAAGTGTTTGTCGCACTAATAAATTTTATTAACAACGATATCATTACCCCATTTATTACACCCATTTCGCTGGTGGTCCCTGTTGGCTCTAAATGAGGCGATTTATTAACGAATCGCACCATTTTTTGCCTTAAATCGCATCTTTTTCCAGCCAATGAGGAGGCTACACTAAAAACAAATTTTCAAAACTCTTATTTCCCCCCCAAAAAATGGATGAATTTAATTTCAAACAAGCTAAGTACCACATCAATAAAATATTTGACCTGACCAAATCCTGTATTTGGGCGATTTCAAAATGGATGTAATAAAGTGGTAATTGAATCTCGTGTCGTGCAATTTTGGCCTGAAATCATACTTATGATTTCAAATTGAACTCGCACTGCACGTTCGTTCGATTTTGAAATCACGCGTATGATTTCAGCCCAAATTGCACTCCACTCAGTTCAATTACCATTATAAACATTATACCGCATACTTACATTAACAATGGTTGGCATTCCACCATAGTATAAGGGTTGCGTGCAGTATGGCCACATGTAAGGACACTCGGTTAAGTCGATGTAAGCTGGACTCAAACTGTAAGTTACAAGAATAAAAACAAAATTTATTTCATGCTGAAAGACAGCAGAAATCAAAATTTACAATTTTCACGAGCTTGCGACAAGCGATAGTTTCAGGCCTAAACATACAAAGTGTGTATTATACTCTTTCCCACTTGTTTTTTTCTCTGCTTTTTTCAGAAAGGATTTCATATCGGCTCTTCAGTGTTTATTTATTGAGGTGTATTGTGATGATAATATAAACCTACCTGGCCTGTGGTTTGTAATTGCTCAGAATTTGATAAGCTTTGATAAGATCGAGCTTGCCATGACCTGGAATCAAAATAGTGAACAGTAAGATCAGGGTAGCGTGGATGGCGCATCGGCAAGAGCTCTCGTCTTTCATCGTTGTAGCCTGGGTTCGATTCTCGAACCTGACGTCACAGGACCGGGTTCCGCGGGCTTAAACGCTCAAAACGGCAGTTTGAAAACTCTCTACGGTGGCCAATTTACGTTATCAACTCAGTTGATAATACCAGATTACCCTGTAATTCCAGTTTCGACCTTTCCAAACTTTAATTTTCTCACAAGTACCTTGTTCAAAAATGTTAAATCCTGGAAGACGGCGAGCTGAAGCCATTAAAGCTTGCTTGACACTCGCTGGGTTTACATTGTTTCCACGATGTTTAACAGCACTGAAAACGAAGAAAACAAAACGTCACTTGTAAATGTACTGTCAATCCTTAGCCCTCACTAGTGATCAGATACGAATAATATAAGCACTGTTAATCGTGAAGTCTGATCGTCCAGGCAAGAGAAGCCCTGGGTAAGACTGTTAAGATGACTTCTGGTGGGGGGGAAGGGGTTGTTGAACCGTCAGTTTCTATTACTGACAACGTCCCTTTTCAGGACTACTATCATTCGGACGATCTTGCCACGAGATCAAATCGAGATAGAGTAAGACTGTCCTGTCCTGCTGTATAAATACCAAATGTTCCCAAAATGAACAATGAGCGGTTGACCAAATGAATAAAAATTGTAATTTGTACTGTGGATTTGCTGGATTTACCTGAGTAAAAGAGAGACTGCTCCTGCCACAACTGGCGACGCAACACTTGTCCCAGATAATGAGCGGCACCCACCTCTGTAAATGGCACCAAAAGAAAACAATAACGTGTTTCATGTTTATCAAGGTTCCTGGTAATGTACGAAGTAGATGCCTGGGTGTAAGAAGTGAATGAGCTAGATAGCTTACAATTCAAGGAACATAGTCAAAAGCCAATAACGAGGTATCGGAGTACATGTTTGTTCCGCCAGAAAATATTTGCAAAATTAGAGACTTCGATCAAATGCTACAGTATTTTACACATGCTCATGCATGCGAGGCAGTATGACACCTTTCTTTTCTTTTTTTTTGGCAGGATGAAAAAAAAACTTACTAAAAATTCACTAGAACGCATACTAACGACAACAAGTAAACGAAATGCAAAGAAAACATCCTAAAAGTTGAATGTATGTAGTGAAGGAAACCACTTACTTGAGACTTGAGCCTCGCACCCCTGAACCGTACGTAACAACATCTGGTTTGACTCGCCCATATCCTCCTGGTAGTTCCTGAGGATCAAAACGAAAAAAGATAGGTTGGTGATACTCTGACATTGAAAATCCTCCTATTGTACACGTAGGTGAAAATGAACTTTTCCTTACCCATGTCGTCATTCCCCTGGAAGAAAAACGTGCAATATGGTCTTCAAAGTTGATACCACCGACTCCGATGACATCCATCTGATCAGCGGGATTGTTTAAAGTTCTACAATCCAAACATAAACACAAAAAATATAGGTTGATTAATAAGAGCACGTCTAGCAACACTCAAATTCTGCAAACAAGCAGCGCCCATAACAGTGATTTAACAGAGAAAGGAGTAGCATCTTAATGGAGTTGAAAGTGATATGGGATCGTCAAAGTAGTGGATATAACGCAACAATGTAAAATCGATCTTGCATTGCACGATATTCATTTGATGAAAGGTACAGTTGACCTCAGATACACACTGTAACTTAAACCTTCACTTACTTAAACATCAGGCATCAAACTCAAACTAAGCTCTTCACCCCCTGGATTTCTGTCATGAATTCACCCTAATTCCACCTTTATCTTTAAGAACCAATTTTTGTCTCCCTTCAAGTCATTTTGTGTTTAGAATTACACAGTTTTGTTTCTTACCCATACAATGGGCCATCATTACCGATGGCAGAAACCATTACAACTCCATTTGCAGTGAGCTCCCAGACCTAAGACAAAAGTTACAAAGCAAAAAAAAATTTAAGAGAAATTATTTTCCATAAACTCCTGATGATCTTGAATACACGTGAACATGTGCACTACCTTTAAATACACACTGTAAAAACTAGGGATTTTTCGCCACCAAAACACAGGCACTAAATAAAGAGTGAAATGACATCTAAGCCACTACATTGTGCCTTTCGAATTATTATGTCTTGAATTTTTTTTGATGATTATCTCTTCCTCATTCAAATTACAAAACTTGTCAAATGTTTTCCAACAACTCAGAGCAGTTACAACATGTAGAGATATCTCTGTGCAACTTTTCTTTACAGATGAACTTTCATGAACATCTGAAGATAGTTCAGAAACAAAAGAGGAACTGTTGCTTTCACATGTGTACAAGTACAGTGAATGTGTACATGAATACCCACTTATGTCCAGAAATGAATGCCGAAAAAAAAAAAAAAAAAAAAAAAAAAAAAAGATTTGACAGAATTTCATCAAAATGAGCAAATATTTACAGAATTGACCATTCTGACAAATTTTTGCCATTTTCATTAATGCATGCATTTCTGAACATTGAATGCCAGTACAGACACAGCTTCTGAACGAACCTTGTCAACAAAAGGCTGATCCATGAAATCAGGTCCTCCAATGCTCAGGTTCAGAACATTCACTTTTTTCAGGATTGCATAGTTAAATGCATCCAGAAACCAAGACGTGTAAGACACCTAAATGTACAGATAATACACATGTAAAAAGGTGGTGTTACATGAAGTGAGAAATAGCTATTTTAATAAAAGAATTCCATTGGAAAATGATAGATCAATTCTATATTCTGATTAAGAAGTCGCATTAATATGTAACAGTTTGAAGAGTGATTGAAATGAAAGTTCAATTACAATAAAGCCTATTCTTTAAAACGATAAACCGCCAACAACAGAAAAAACAAAACATCTACCTCATACATACCAATGAGGCAGATGTATCAAGCTTATGCACGCACATGTGATTTTTTGACACACAGATTTTTTTATTTGCAATTTCATGCAATTTTTGGTGTACTTTATTTGCATTTTTAAGTTAACTTATGAGCGAGCCATGCTGTATGTTTACAGTAACAATAGTGAGAAAAACATCAATGCATGCCACAAACCAGTGCACTACCTGACTATTGGTAAAAACTCTGAAAATGTGAAGCTCTGCATCAGGAGCAAACCCTAAACATTCCCGTGAACTTGCCACAACACCTGCAACAAAGGTTCCATGGCCAAGACCTACAAAATAAGAAAGGCATTTAGGTGAAGATTTCTCCATGGGTCACCAATATCAAACATTTAACAGCCTCCTGTATTTTGTTTAGTTGCATTTTCTGTGGTAGTGTGTGTCAAATAAACTTGGTTGGGATTTCTTCAGTAGAACCTTTAAGTCTCATGGTCAAAAGATGCACACTTCCTATTGGTCTACATGTACATGATTGTATAATACAATTATATCTTGCTTTATAACAGCAAACAAGAAACAAAACAAAAGGCAATTTGTGATCTTACCATCATCAAGGGTCTTTTCCTCTGTCCAGTTTGTCCTGTCCATGACCTTTCTGAAGTGTGGATGATTCTTTGGCAAACCAGTGTCAAAAATGGCTACTTTAACACCATCACCTTAAAAAGAATCCATGTAAACATTAAGCATAAATTTACATGTGTATATGTTTTTTTTTTTAATTTTTTAATCACAGTCTACTGGTTAAACTTTGAGAAAATTTTGAGAGTTTTAACCCTTTAATACCTAAGAGTGACAAGCATCTCACTTCTCCTTACAATATCTCTCCAAAATTACAGGTTAATGTCAAGAGAATAGAGGAAATGATCACCAACTAGAGAACCTCTTGATTGTGAACCAAATTCTCCTTTTCAGTACTTTAAGAAATATATAGAGGACAGTAAGGAGAATATGCATACTGATGTTTGGGTGTAAAGGGTTAGAAACAATGCTCATAAACAGTTTTGTTGCAGAACAAATTATTCAAACACTTTTGAGTACCTGTGTGGCCCATACTCCAGAGCACATCAGCTTGTAACACATGAACAATCTGGAATAAAATATAAAAAAAAACCAGCTAATGAGTGAACAGAAGGCAAACAAAGTAGCTTAAGGAAACACAATGAACAATGAAAAAAAAAATTATTACAATGATAACAGAACGTGCAAATATGTATTTGCATCATTTAAATGTACCAGTTGGTATCTTATAGCACATTTGACTTGAATGTGAAGTCTACATTGTGATTTATTTTATTTCCTTGATTGGAATTCTCTCAACAAGTTCGACTTAAAATCTTAAATACAAAACAGAGAAAATCATAAATCTAACCAGTGTGAAAAATGTCAAAGTAAGACAGAATTTGAGCCCCATTGTGAAGTTTAATGCCTCAGAACACAATACAGTTAGCCCCCCTCAAGAGCTTAAGCAGACAGTAGATCTTTTGAACAGAGTCTAATACATTTACCACTAGGCCATAACATCCTCAGTGAGAATGAATATGTACATGCACCAATACTAGTAATGTTTTATATGTGTATCTGGGTCTTCATCATTTTTACCTGTCTTGGGACAGATCTGAGGATTCTTCTACCAGGGTTGTGACGAAGCTGAGACTGAATAAGGCTGTGACTCTGAAAAGATTGATGCACACAATTGGTTGACAATTAAATTCATACTTTGGATATTCATTTTTTTTTTGGTCTGTCTCTAAACACTGCATTCCTTAGCAAACTGTGAAGATAAAACACTAGAGACCAAAACTCACCAATGCTAGACTGGAGCGTGTTGTCCTCCTGTCCAAAATAAATCGCATTGATACAAGTAGTTTAAGATGCATACAAATTTGTAAGGCTCACTTTAAAAGAGAGAAGAAATGAACATCAATTTGGAAAAAATGCTGTATTATTTATAACCCTTTAACTCCCAGACGTGATCAACATGCCACTTCTCCCAATAATATCCATACATTATTTAGCAAACAGGTGATGAGAATACTCAAACTTATCGCAAAGAAGTTGTCATTCTTGATCTAACACCAAGTTCTCATAACTAATTTACATGAAAATGTGTGGCAGGTAGAGAGGAGAATTAACAATCATATCTTAGGAGTTAAAGGGTTAATGTAAACATGTACATGTACCTTGCACTCCACACCTGTGACCAACAACCAACATCCTGTTCTGCACAGTCTGCATCTGCACTCCGTTCAATTTCTTTCTTCAGTTCATCCTCTTTCACTGCAAGTGAGAGATTCTCATGAGTAAATACATTGTACATGTCTATTTGAGAATCTTAAGCAAAAGCTTTTTTAAAGCTGAATTCAAGGGAACTGATTCACTGGCAAGATTTAATGACTTCCTTTTTACAAACACACAAGCACAATGCAGCACTTGAATATTTATGTACACCTTATATGACACTGAGTTAAAAGTCAGCAAATTGTAATGCAGGTACATGTACCTTCTATGCTCTTGAGAAATCTTTCAACTCTCTTTTGTGGTGTAACACTTCGGACCTTAGGATGTCTCTTTAGTGCATCAACACCACTTCTTGTGTCTCCTTTCAACTGTTGATAACAAGTTCATGTGCAAGTGAGAAAGTTCAAAATTAACCCTTTACACCCTAACATCAGTATGCATATTCTCTATACTTTCTCTATACATGTCTTAAGGTTCTGAAAAGGAGAATTTGTTTAACAATCAAGAGCTTCTTTAGTTGGTGATCATTTCCTTTATTCTCATGACCTTCATGTTTCATTCAGGGTGATCTTGTAAGGAGAAATTAGATGTCAGTCACTCTTAGAGGTTAAAGGGTTAATGAACTGAAAGACGATTTAACCTACAACTTAAATATTGAGTCAATGAACAAGTTGAGATTTCATTTTGCAACCAAACTTTGAATTCCTGGAATTCTAAAGCCTTATAAGTATCTGTTGTTTTAGCCTTGCCCTCTGACATAAATATGTTCATAACCCTTTCACTCCCATGAGTGACCAAGACAGAATTTCTCCTTACAATATCAGTACAACATCAAGCAGACAAGTAACGAAAATAAAGAAATATATCAATAAGGGGATTATTAAGGTAACCAGTCATTTCGCACAAAAGACTTTTCGCACAAGTCTTTTAGCACAAATTTTGGACCATTTGCACAATTCTTAGTGATCATTTCGCACAATAATCATAAGTGAGAAACATCAATATAAAAGGTATACTGATTGATACTGATAAGACATTTCACCTTCACATGATCCAACGGCGAGAACGTAGACATTTATTTACGTAATAACTTCAACTAGATCAAAATGCTCGTGAACATGATCACTATTCGTTCTTGAAGAAAGGAAAGGTACAAATCTCTCTCTCCATGAATATGTAAGGAAAGGTAAAAGAAGTAATCGTTCGAATAGGGAGTTCTTTACATTTTCATAGAGAGAAAGATTTGTTCCTTTCTTCAAGTAAGAATAGTGATCGTGTTCACAATCGTTTCGATCTAGTTGAAGTTATTATGTAAATAAATGTCTACGTTCTCGCCGTTGGATCTTATTGAAAGTGACATGTGAAGGTGAGATGTCTTATCAGTATCAATTAGTATACCTTTTATATTGATGTTTCTCACTTATAATTGTTGTGCGAAATGACCACTAAGAATTGTGTGAACGTTCCAAAACTTGTGCTAAAAGACTTGTGCGAAAAGTCTTAAGTGCGAAATGTCCTGTATGCAATTATTAATTAGTAAGGGGAATTAATCATGAGATCCTCAGAGTGAAAAGGTTAAGAGGCACTGGCTTCATTAGAAATAGTGACTGGTTTTATACTGGAAAAGAAAAAAACACATCAAATCTCTCAACTGCTTCGTGGTAAAATGGGAACCGCTCAAAGAATTATTTGTCAACTTCACATACCTTTACAAGAGAGAAGTCACTTGGGTAGTCACTGGCAGGATTATGCCGAGGGATAATTTTCCAGGATTTAACAGAGGACAAATCAAGGGCTGACATGACATATCCATCCCTAGCTGAAGTGGTATAGTATCCATTGAAGACAACAATGTATTCTACAAAAAATTACAAAATTGTTATCATAAGATTAAAAACTGAGTGTCAGAAATACATGTGTTCAGCTAATGAGAAGAAATATTTATATATTGACGAGAGTTAACAGAAAATTATCTACACTAGAATTAGAGAAAATGTATGAAAAAAAATTAGGAGAATTGATTTCATATCTTCACCGTGAAATGGTTAAAACAAACATGGCCATATGAACACTCAGGTTGTGCAAAATCAATCACTTCAATAATAAAATCATCATCATCAAATCATTAGTTTTTGGTAAATTGTTTGGAAACAATAAAATGATTGGCATTTTACTCTGCTTTCTAATAAAGAAGAGAGATTAGCAACATTGGATTTGATTAAGTCCCTAATATGTTAGTTACTCCATATGAAGAGCTACGACTGTCTTTTACTTCTAAATGTACTTTGACTTCCACTCCAGTTAAATACACCATTTCTATCAAAAGGCAAATGCTCATGCGATTAACTCAACCACATGGAAATTTAGAGGTAAGAATAGTGAAATTAACCTTATACCTGGTTTTGTGATTTAATCTGTACATGTAAGTGAAAACCTTTACAATAATTTTAGCAATTTTAGATTCATATTTCAGACAGTAACAAATTTACATCTTCAAGATGGTGTAATTATTATAAGAATTATCGTTCTGCAAGATTCTCAATCGCTACTTTGCAAGAGAACGGTTTTTCTTATAAATCACGAGATTCTGAAATCACACTTGTAAAAGCCCGATTGGTTTGCGCTGTTTCGTAAGGGCAATCACTGAACTCACTAAGGGGCTTCACATTGACTTTGATGCAAAATCACGGTAACGACCACTTCATCTCAATTTCCACACCACTAAAAGTTCTACACTAAACCTAAATCTTCAAATATCTCCATCTTAACTTGAAGTATTCTCATCGTAGATATAAAATAACATTTGATGATAAACGCAGAAAACGTGCCTTTTAAATCCAAATAGTAAAGACCATTCACATGTAAGAAAGACGAGTCTACACACACACACACATCCTGTTTACAAAAAGAAACTCTCGATCGAGGCGACTCAAATAATGTTCTCACCGTTTTCGACAACGGAGGTCTTGTAATCGAAGAAGGATTCCTTTGCGACGGAAGGCGATGAAGAATTACGAGAACAGTTTTCGAACGGTGTTTCATCAGACGAGTTAACAAGAAGGCATGAAAGACAAAACATCACCCAACCGCGTCGCCACCGACAGCCATGCTTCTTTCCCGTGGCAGGCATGGGCCTAAAGTAACGTTCATCAATCGTCTGCTAAAGCCAGTCCATCTCAGTCGAGAAAAGCGGATAGAGAACTCGATGTTATAGGAAACTACTATCTTCACTTGAAATGCTCTTCACACCATTAAAACATGAAATGGTTTTGGAAGGTAATCATGTGACGGTGACATCGAGCCGTGATTGGCTGAATCTCCCGGCGCACGGAAACAAACTGACCTTGTGAGGAATGTAGTTGACCATCAATAGCTTTGCGAAGAAGTTATTGCCATGGGTAACTCACTATTTTCATGTTGGGAAGACAAAAAGAAATCAGCTGAGCTACACACACAAACAAAGTGCGAATAGGTTTTAATATTATTTACTAGTCGTACTTAAGAGAGAATTAGAAAAAAAAAAGGAAAAAGAAAGAAAGAAAAAGAGAAAAAATGAAAGGAATAATAACTAGATTTTTCAAACGTATTAAAGGATTGGTACGATAAACTGTAAATCACAGAGGATGAGGAAATTTGGCTGAGAAAGTGCTCAAAGCTGGGATGGAAGACTTCCACGTGTTATGGTAAATGGAAAAAAAAACCAATATTTGATAGAAGACTCCATATGGCAACAAACGCGGAGTAGTGGTCAGCGGTTTCCAACAGAAAAGTCAAGGGCAGAGCGTAATCCAACTGAATCTGAAATCAATTTCAAGAAAGCAAAATAAAAACAATCAAACCGACAAAAGTATACAAACAAACAAACTTAAAAAGAAAAGATGTTCATGATCATTCAAACCATACGGCCTAGTATTTTTCTCTGTTTCTTTTACGGCTGTCATCCGGATTCATCACGCAACACGCTCATTGCGTGAGAGAGTGCGTGATGCATAATGAGCCAAAGAAGGAGAATAGATTTGTAGATATTATCTTTGTACCCCGTTCCACAGTTCTAGTTCATAACATATACCCCAGAATTACCAGAAAGGCGATGAGAGGAGCGGGAGGGTGGGGTGGAGGAGGGAGCCCACAGACCCGCAGACCCCAATCTTCATCAGCTTTCATGTGCCCGAAGCCCTGCTTTTCCCTTGCCTAGAAATTTTTTTTATCTATTTGTAGTTCTTCGGAAATTTTCAAAAGCTACTGAACAACCAAAATAAGGACTTCCTTAGTGGTGGAAACGCAAGTGGACGCAAGCACATGCGCTGCGATGCCGTTACACACCATCTACCACAAACAGCTTAAAAATGATGAAATTAATAAACCCTATCCCCTCCAATTATATATATTTAATTTGCATTACTGTAAGTTAGGCAGACTTTGACTAGCTTTTATATTCTCCAAGTCTTTCTATTTTGGGAATAGAGACAGGAGAAAACTGATCCTGAAAGTAGTAACATCGCAGCTCGGACATACCGCAACCAATTCCGAGAAATTAAGGAAATCAGATGCGATTCATGACGTGTAAGTGTCACCGTCCAAAGGACCCAACTGCAAGAGTAAGAAGAGGCTCTTTGGAACTTAAGATTATTGCAGCGATTCGGCAGTTGGAAAACATAAAAGTCAAATGGGTTTCCACTTTGTAAGCAGTGGTCAAGAATTCACAGACGTTACTTTGAAGAATATTTGTGATACTGCGACCAATAACGACCTTAACTCGACAGAATTCGCATCTCAACTCATCACCGCAAGTTGTGCTGCGGCATTCTATTTGGTTATGTTCTTCTTGGGCATTCTCGGTGTCTGGTTCCAGCCCTGTCTTAGAGTTTCTTCTTCGCAAGGAGCACTCTTCGCATTTTTCGTGGGGGCACTAATTACCTGTATAAATGTATTTACAAATGCACACGACCTCTTGGTGAAGTTGAGCTTCCGGCTTTTCACAACAATACTTATTGGAATAATTTTCATAATCTTTGGTGCCTGGCGTTTCTTTGAAATGCCAAACAGAGCTCGAGGAGAAGCCAACCCACAGGGGAATGATAGACCGCCCCTCGGTAAACAACAGCCTTCCATGGGTCTGGTAGTTTCCTTGTTAACCTTTCCTTTGGTCATTATCGAGATTGTGCTGATTTGCGCATCGTTTAGCTCCAATATAACGGACGAGACGAAAGGAAGCTTGGCGGATAAAGACTGGCGCTTAGTTAACGCGGACAAGACTGTTTTCCTTATTCAGAAGATTTTCCAAGTTGTTACCTATCTGTATCTGCGGAACACTACAATTTCCCAAGGATACGAAGAGAACGTTCGGTTTTATTTTAGATTATTATCTTTTTTCAACTTCATCGAGTGGATAGACGCGCAAGAAAATATAGACGACGACGTAGCTTTAACTGGAATCAGTGTAGAATTTGACGGCTGGTTCAATTTATTGACAGTGCTATACACAGCATTGATCATAGATTATCGCTTATTGTGTGCACTACTGTTTCTTGAACATTCTGTTGAAGTTCAAAATCACGCGGACCCGGCCGATGAGAATGACAATGGCGGTGGTAATCAAGAAATGTCGCCTTGTGATGAAGTCAAAAGAGCATTCGGATTTGCTCTTGGCAGCTTCTGCCTCGTAGCCCCTGTCTTCGGTGCTTTATATTTTGTGCCTGCATTCAATCTAAAAGCAGGGGTCAATATGTTTGCTATTATTGTCAACATAGTAGTCGTTGTTTGTGGAATTTGTCTGCTCTGCTTCAACGAATTGGGGACCGTTCCCATTCACCTTAGAGAATCGCAAGGTGTTAAAATAATGGTAAGTCTCTGTAAATTTCTTTGACAACTTAAAAAGCAGTGTGTTGTTTACAATTTTTCATGTGATCTGTGCGATGCAGATTATGTCGGGTATACAGCCCGACACCTTCATCAACGCATTGCTGAGCACAAAAATTCGGCAATCGGTAGACATTTCTTAGAAGCTCATGGTAACAACAACCTTTTGAGAGAAAGCCAATTCACGGTTTTAAGAAAGTGCCAGAGCAAATTTGATTGCTTAGTATTTGAAATGCTCTTCATTAAGAAACTTAAGCCCAATTTAAATATTCAGACGGACTCCATACGTGCGAAACTCTTCGTTTGATATTTCCTCACGTTACAATTTTTTTAATCAGCTATTGTTGTTTTTTTTAGTATTTATAGACCAAAAATCACTATCTTATTTTGACTTGATAATGACGTTCAGCTAACGTCGAAACGTCGTCGCTTTTTAGCAATTTTTTTAATCTTGAAATGATTTTAAGAAATGTTTTATCGCAATTTTTTATAGTGAAAAACTTTAAAAAAATGATTGATTGAAGTGAATATTTTGGCCTTCTGTGAGCCTCTTACAGTCTGCTTCGATGCCTCGACCCATCACACCGGAACCTTTTTCCGAGAAATGATGTCAGCGACGTTTTGTCATCGACATTGTCCTGAGTCTATGTGAACAACTAACCTATCATTCTCCACTGCGGTCAGTTCACGTTTATGGTCGATGCACCCACGCAACTTCAGGGTAAAATCCAGTAAAAGACCAGTTTGAATGCCAACTAGAGCCATGAAGCCGAGTAATTATGACAACTTATTTTTTATAATATACCTCAGTGAGGTGAAACCGAGATTTTACAAATTAAATTGTTATGATTACTCGGCTTCATCGGCTCTAGCTAAGATCGCTTGGGGAAATGTTTAATTTTGGTATATCGAATATGAGACACTGTGCATGTCGAAGTGAACAAGCTCAATAGTAGGCAATACTCCAACCTTTTCTTCTTTCCTCTGATAGGTTTGTTGCCTGGGTGCTGTAGGATTTACATGCTGGTTCGTGGAGGCAGTCATAGCTTGTTTTTGGGCTGCTAAAGAGAAACACAGAGGCGATATCAGGAATCTCCCCCCGCCATACATCCCTTGGACTGCCGCTAAGTTTATTATACGAAGTATAGCAACAGCATTCCTCATTTTCTTGTTCAACAACATCAACGCCCGAGCTTTGCCCGTACTAAATCAGAGCATTAAAAACTATGTTCTTGTACCTGCTGTGATGTTAGGGGTGCTCTCCATGTTTGGAGAGGGTTTGGTTGACCAAAAATTTGGACGAGTGGATGATCTTCTCAGGTTTGTAAGCGTTGAGCATCACAAAGTTTAATGTATTCTAAAACAGTGGATAGCATTGAAGGCGCCCTCTGATTGGCTACTCAAACTCCAGATATCCTTTGCTATTCACCACCGAGTAACTTACGTGGGATTTGCTCCCGAAAATTAATGTAATCGTTGCAAGAATGTCGGTGGGTAGTGCTGGATATTTACCTCGTTGCTTCGCGGCTTGATCGGTAAATATCCACCACTGGCTACATCCTCTTCGGTGAATAGTTGTTGCCAATAAACAATCGGATTGTTTACGGCTGATAATTTATTTCTTAATTTGCACTTTAGTTATTTGATTACTTGTTAGTGATTTATATTTAACGTCAACATTTTGCTATCAATTTCCTGCTCTGTTTGTGATTGATTGACGTGCTCTCAGCCAGTCAGGCATGCTAAAATATTTGCACGTGTAAAACAAGGCGCGCCACTGAACGATGCTTTATCAATCAGCTTTCAAAATCAACTTCGTACCCAGATCTCCTGCTTTTCTTTCAAGGGATTTCTTTCGAGACTTGGATCATTGTGTTTTGATGTAGTACAAGAAATTTAACTCCCATATTGCCCCTTTCCACCCGCACTGTACAAATGACTTCTGGAGATAGCCAGGGAAACCTAACCAAATGTTTGGTGGGGGAAAACTTACAACGGACTGGCATTCTATACAGGGGGAGTTAAAAACCCCTTTAATTGCTGCATGCTATAGAAAATAGGTTAACCTCCTGCTGAATAGGCAACTTTACTCGATTGCACTTAATTTTTAATGTAGCTGAAATTTAAGTTTTGTTCAACAAAGGAAAAAGTTCGCGTAACCAAGGATTCAAGTTAATGATATTCGGATGTAAAGTATATTTGTCAAACATTATTCGGCATTTTAATCCTAACAAAAGCCCTCTCCCCTCTATTCTGTCTTTCATTAGGTTGACTTATATGCCAGTTTTGTAATAAATGTATTGGGAATTCGATTTAAAACCTCCCTAACTCGCTCTTTGATTCACTGTTTAACCCAAACTGAAACCGTATCGAGGTGTGGCTCTGTTTGGTTCGAGCGAATTTTTCTTGGTTGTCTCAGCAATTTGTCATTTAAACTTTAATTTTTGACTCATTTGCCTTCACAGGTGTGAAATCAAAGACCTAGGCCTGAAAATTCTGTTTGACGTAGGCCCACCAATGCACCTTGGTTTCCTTCTTCACGTGTTTCTTTACTTTATCATCATACAAACACGTTTACGAAACTGCCCGCCACAGCAAGAACAAGAGCCAGTGAATCCGGGGCAAAGGGACGGCCCGATTCGGGGCCGTGGCCGGGGATGGGGACGTGGCCGAGGTCCGCAGCTGGAGCCAGGACAGTTTCAGGGACGGGGTCACGGTAGGGGCCGCGGGCGTAGCTGGAGAAACACCTAGGGCAAGGGCTGGTTTGCATTATTTTTTTCCTTGAGCTTAAATTTTTTTCGGTTTTCTAATAGACAGGTATGTAAAGTTCACTAACCGTTGTTATCTCGAGTGATTTACCTATGCTATGTTAGGCTTTTGGGACGAATGATCTCTCCTCCTGCCTTGTTGCTGCTTCAAATACATTGATTTCTTTGCTTAAATGAATTGATTCCTTAGCTCAATGCAAAAACGAGAAAAACTGCGGCACTAAATAATCTCTTGATCATTCATGGTTAAACAAGGGGAAAATACGTTGCTTTTCCTGGAATTAGTTGATAGAGTAAAGTTTCCCAGAATTTTCCCAGGTTCAGAGGTGCCTTCTTCATCTGTTCATAGTTGTACTTACTGAAATTTTGAACGATCCGAAGAGAATAATATCAGTCAACACCAGAGTTTGACTGGGTGGTGTTTTAGTGTCGGGCGAGACCATACCCAACCTGTTGAGAACCAGTCGCTACTTCGCGTAAAAGGAATTACCTGAGTTTTAATGACCCTCTTGGGACCTGTATCACATTCAGGACCACCGCTTAAATCTCTTAATTTTTTAAAATTGTATGATGTGATTCATTCAGAAATCCTTTCTTTTGTTTATCACTCTTTCCATAAAGTGATCGAGTCCTCCATGATTTTTCAAGCCAATATCTTCTGTTAAATCGTATTTTTAGTGTCAATCACTAAATGGAAATCTGTTTGCGAACTCAGTTCAAACTACTCAAAATAGTATTAGTTAAGTCGAGTCGTTGTAATTGTACTAGTACCAACATCTGAAATTCATTCATTGGCAATTGAAATAAAGCAAACTACCCCGCTTCCTTGGTCCTGTCGGTTTGGTGAAACTTTAAAATACTTCATGATTGACGTCTATGTTATTGCTAATTCTTATTTTCTTACATAATTTTCATTAAAATACTGCGAATGCGTATGCAATTAAGTTATCATTGTTATTTTTGACACCTCTGTAAAATTTCATATTTGCAAGAGCCGAAATAAACAAAATTAAATTTTTTTTAATTGAATTTGTTGCCTCGGATGTCAAGGGTAAATGCTATTTGACGCTTAGTAATTCTTGACTGTCCATTTATCTATTTCATGCGGATACAGTTAATTGACTTCGATCCAAGTTATAGAAAAACCGTTTCTTCACTCTCCTTTTATGCATTCAAAATCTTTCAGCCCACATTTCGAACGAATATCCAACGAACATGTCGGACGCGTGAAATAATTTCAAATCGGCACTCTTAATCCCTATGGTATCAACGAAAGCTTTTAATTCAACTGATTTATCACTTTTGTTTCATGTTATCGAACTCGCCTCCCACCGTAACCACCGTCCTGACTCCAAAATATCATTACTTTTACGGAATATATTTTTACCCACAGAATTAGGACTACAGCTTTACCTTTGTTCTCTGATTATCTAATTGACTCACGAAAGTTCTTACAAGAAAGAGGGGGGGGGGGGGGGGAGGAGAAGCAGGGTGGGTGTCTCTTTCCGCAAAGGTAACATCAAGAAGAATTAAAATGGGCCTTGGTAAAGAGTTTCTAAAGCTGACTTTTCAAGCTTTGGCGGTCCTTCATCATAGCCAGTAGAGGAATTGTGGGTCATGTGTGTCTATATGTGGCCTACGTGTAGCCCTACCCTCCCCTTCCCCAAGGAGAAAACCACCGCAGCCCCATTTTTCTGCATATAGATTAGCATACGCGTTTCCGCCTACCCTTCCCCCCACTTTACCTCCGTCCCACTGATAGAGATTGAAAAGCCGGCTTTAATACAAATACTGGGTATAAATTCATACAAAGCACCCGTTGCCCAAATTATAATCAAAGAATATCCATGGCCAACTCGTGCATAAAGTTTTGGAGGGGACAAGAAAGGCGTGTTTTTTTGCTCGATAACATGAAATGTATAAGCGGTACGAAGATAGTTTGAATTTTAATAACTGGCACGCTAACGGCAAAAATGGACATCAAAATCCTAAACGCTGTTAAACACGAAAATGCTAAAATCGACACCGTGAAAGCTTTGATGGTTTAATTTAAAGCGACGATATCAATCAACCGTGGACGATTCGTTCAATAAAATTTGCCCGACAACGCGGAGTGAAGCTGCACGAAGATGGGTTTTGGCTTAATCCCCTTGAGAAATTGAAAGTTGGAAGCGCGCACTAGCGGTGGAAATGGCCACTGATATCGTAAAAACGATGATGCTGCAATGGAAACCGTAAAAAAACGAGTACACCGCCCTGAGAAGACAAAACCCATCCTATATTTTATAAAGTATAATTATAATTTTATATTTTATTTTAATTTTATTTTAATTTTATTTTTTTTATTTTTATTTTAATTTTAATTTTATATTTTAATTTTATATTTTATAAAATTTGCCCGACAACGCGGAGTGAAGCTGCACGAAGATGGGTTTTGGCTTAATCCCCTTGAGAAATTGAAAGTTGGAAGCGCGCACTAGCGGTGGAAATGGCCACTGATATCGTAAAAACGATGATGCTGCAATGGAAACCGTAACAAAACGAGTACACCGCCCTGAGAAGACAAAACCCATCCTATATTTTATTCCTCAAGTCTTCATTTTTAAAAATAAATATATGTAGCAGTGAATTTCACAGGTTTTTAGTCAGAAAAGCACAAGATTATCTTCGTCCACTTCTGATCGATTCACCCGCCAATATATTTACAGAAGATGATCGAATTTAATCACGCTTCTTGATTTGCATCAGATCATAACCAATCGAAGCGTTACTATGTAAAGAAGGGTCACCAACGTTTTAGGGGCGGTTAATTTCTACTGCAATGTGGTTTTATGCTCGGGAGAACGACTACTTGCCACAGTGTCTACATCTCAGTGAGTGAGTGTGTGACTCATTTGCATATAGGAGTCGCCATAAAAACCCGGGATCAATATCAGTATCTGGGCAACTGACCACTTACCCCTCCCCTAACCCAACAACAGTCAATTGATGACAAGTTAGGGTTAATTTTGGGTTAGGGAAGGGGTAGGTGCTCCGTTTCCCAGATACTGATATGGATCCAAAACTCGTTTACATGAGTTAAAAAGGTTAACATACAAAGAATTCCTTGAAAATTTTTAGATCATACAGCGTTTTCTTTATGGTGTTTTTGTTCTCATGGTGTTCGGAAAATGCATTTTCATCTTCGTCGCTCACCGCGATAAGTCTTGCGGCGTCTATTATTCTAAACAACGAACACACCAAGTTCATTCAGTCGAATTCAGCAAAGTTTGAAAGGCGGAAATCGTGACATCGTTGTGTTACATACCAAAAATCAGCCACTCGATTCCCGGATGAAGTAGTGGCATTAATTCTACGAATGTTTTAATTATTTGTAAAACAATATCGTCCGTATAATAATTTTAGGAAACGCTCCTTCCAGAAACACGTCATTTAATCTCTGATTGGCTTCTTATATCTTTAGCCTTTCTTTTAGGGGCTAACGACTGGAGAGAAGCAATTTCAGAATACTTAATTTGATTCTAGGACCAGGAGTAACGAGGGAAAGACTCACCACATCCAATTCTCCGAACCAACTAGCAAAGAGAGAAGTGAAGGATTCTTTGAATCTTGTGTATACTAGTGAAGTCTAGCGATCTGAAAAACTTGTCAAGTCGAAATGTCTTTCCCGCTTGTCAGTATTGTTCAAGGAACAGAATTAACATCGGGGAAGCTCAATGTGTGTGGTAATGTCACCGAAAGCGACAAGAACTCGGTAGCAAAGGCATCTCAAGTCATCTCCGCAAGTTTTGCTGCGGTTTTCTATTTGGTGATGTTCTTCCAGGGCATTCTTGTCATTTGTATCGAGCGCTTTGTCAGAATTTCTTCTTCACATGGAACACTTTTCGTATTTTTTGTGGGGGGTTTATTTGCCTGTATAAATGTAATCACAACTAGAAACAATCTCCATGTAGCATTGAACTTCCGGCTTTTCACGGTACCTCTCATTGGAATTATATTTTTGTTCTTTGGCGTCACTCTGTTCTCCAGAGAACTTCCTCCGGGGGAAAATCGACCAACTTTGGGAAGACAACAGCCCTCGATGGGCTTGGTGGTTTCCATAATAACAGTTCCTCTGGTTGGCATTGAGATCGTACTTCTTATCGCGACTTTTAATTCTATATCAACAGACGAAATAAATGAATCCTTGACACATCTTGAATGGCTCTTGCTCAAGACTGAAAAGTCTCTATTCCTTGCTCAAAAGATTTTCCAAGCTCTTTTCTATCTATGTCTGCGCAAAACAAGAATACGCCGAGACTCCGAAGAGAAAGCCCGATTTTATTTTAGATTATTGTCTTTTTTTAACTTCATCGAGTGGATAGACTCACAAGTAAACGTAGAAAGAGACGTTCGTTTGAGTGGAATCACGAAAGAACTCGATGGCTGGTTCAATTTTGTGACAGTTTTGTACCAAGCATTGATCATAGATTATCGCTTATTGTGTTCATTACTATTCCTTGAACATTCGGCGGAAGTTCAAAATCAAGACGACCCAGCTGAAGAGAATAATTATGGAGGAAATAACCAAGATGTTGGACTAAGAACCATTTTTGGATATAGTGTTGGCTGTGTATGCCTCATTGTTCCCATATTCTGTGCATTATATGATGCTCGTGCTTTCCATCTGGATGCAAGTGTCAATACACTTGTTATTACCGTCAACTTGGTAATTGTCATTTGTGGAGGGTGTCTCCTGTTCAATAACAACTTGGATGCTGATCCCATTCAACACAGAGAATCACAAGGAGTCAAAATCATGGTAAGTCTTGGCAATGTAAGCTTTATCTCAAGTAATTATTTTAGCCTCCTTTAAGCCTCTATTTGGATGCAGTACACGAAGCCAGTTTCCTAAAAAATTTAAAAGAGGAAGATTTCAAAGAAACTTCTGTAAATGACCCCGATCCTGAGCCCATCTGACTTAACAACCTTTTCCTACCCACACAGCCCACTCAGGATACGATTGATGCTTCCAGGAGAGCTCTAGAAAACGACCAGATTTCCCTAGCCATTCCACTTTTTTTAATCATTTGCAGCCCAAGGATAATTAACGCATCTGCACTCGATAGATATGAAGTCGCGTAGGTTTTCCCAATATTTCCCGTCTTAACCCTCTTGCAGCCCCAGGCCCTCAATTTTTCGGCTCTGCTGCTTGAAGCTTTATAGCGCACACAAGACCAGTTTAGTCCTGCATGGGATTATTTACAGAGCTTTGTATCATATTCACCATCTACATTCAGACTCTACACGTTTCCACACGTTCCACCGTTAAGGTCGATATCCATTCATGATATCTACTAGTAATGTTCGTGTCAAGGTGCGCGAAATAATCTTCCAGTACGGTTCTTTAATTCCCCTCGGTGCTGCGGCTCCCGAGTAAATTGAAGAACGAGACTTGTGCTATTTTTCTGGAAGAGGACAACTTGAACTGTCTAATGGACTCTTCGAAAATATCAGAAGGTAGACTAATAATTCGTTTACCGCTTACAAGTTGTCATAGTAGTCACAATCATCGTCATTATCGCTGTCGGTATCATAACTTTTAATTAATATAAATTATTACTTTTTTCATCCATAGGTTTGTTGCTTGGGTGCTGTGGGATTTACATGCTGGCTTATGGAGGCGGCCATTGCTTGTTTTTGGGCCGTAAAAAAAAGAAGCGGCATTCAGGACACGGTGACACCCCAGTACATTCCTTGGACTGCTGCAAAGTTTGCTGTACGCAGTGTAACAACAGCATTTATCATTTTCTTGTTCATGAAAATAAACGTTCGAGCTTTTCCCTCGAATAACCCGACCAAAAGTGGAAACTTTACTTTAGTACCTATTGTGATGTTTGGGGTAATATCCATGTTTATCGAAGGCTTAATTGACCAGAAGGTTGGATGGGTACACCAATATCTTGGGTAAGCCGAACAATTATATTCTTAGCATGGGAGTTCGTTTTCATTCAAAAGTGTACCTGAAAGCATTTGGTTTCTCGCTAAAGATAAATATACATTTATTTTCAATATTACGCATGCAATGCAAGTTATACATCCTGCCGTCCTCAGGCCATTTTCTCTATTCTTTGGCGCGCGCTCCGCCAATTCATTTTCAAATTTACCGCTGGTAAGTCTAAATAAGTCCCGGATATTTCGCGGCACTCTGCGTGATGTTGTAAACTTTCCTCACTGTTTGAAATTGAATGGCAAGTTCTAAGTTCTTGAACACTGAAATGCTTTTGGAACACATGATGAAGTGAGCTGATGAATGATGCAAAGTTTATCAGCCTTGGTTTTAGGTCTCAAGCATTTCCATTTAAAATAGGTTACCCTGCATTTGTCTCCTTATAGGAGTCCTTTAGGAAATAACTCTCCAGATGTGGTTAGGAAAAGCACCCCCTTGGTAGTTATTCCTGGAAATTTACTTCTAAGCTTTGTTTTTTCTAAAAATTTTATTTCCTTAGGTGTGCCATACAAGATCAAACCCTGGTATTACTCTTTGATGCAGGTCCGCCAATGTACCTGGGATTTCTTATTCATGTTGCTCTCTACTTTATGGTACTTGCAAAAGGACTTCGGTACTGCGCACCAGGGCCAATCTTACATATTCCATTAGATTAACAGTAGAGGCTGAACTTATGCGATCAACTACTGAGTTAGAAATCATATCACCTTTGTTTCCGAAGCTAACAAGATGTGAGATGAAAGCTGCATCTGTATTGGTTGCAAGGCCAAATATTGTTTTATTCATTGCTTGTTCTAGTTTTGGAGCCTTGATGCATCCTGAGCCTGAAAGTGGCAATTATGGATCGTTATGCGTAGAGGAAAGACTTTGCTGTTAAGGCCTGGTTTAGAGGCTGGCCTAATTAAAAATTGAAAAATTGCCGCATGTGGTAGCCACGGAGTGTTAATAGTTTTTTTTTTAAAAGTGTTAGTAGTTTAAACACTCTTAGGGATGGTAGTAAATTAAGCTTTCATCTACTCCTTCTTTCTATCGATCATTAGGAAGCACAAATCAGTGAAGGGATAACAGTCAGTGAGTTCGTCGCATTTTATATAAGGATACTAGAAGTATGTGTTCATTATTATCAATGGTTAACGTTTTCGACGCTTACGCTCAACTTGCGTAATGCAGTTTCATCAGTCCTATTATTAAAATAAAGAGCATACGCTCAAAGCTGCACAATAAAAGCTGTAACAACATCAGAAGTCATAAATGATTGTGAATATGTGAAAATCGAAAGTATGAACTGCAGATGAAGAAATGAACATGAAAGTGATCTTCGCAGTAACGGACACTACGCAAGCAGCATTGAAAATAAGTAATCTCCTTGTTATGCTATAAATAAAATAATCTCCTTGCTATGCTATGCAGTGAAGACTTACGAACGAATATCGCACTAAAAACAAGGTCATAGCAAAAATTAACAACTCAACGGACCGAGGTTTGCATGCAGCTGATGCGCGTGAGTTGACTCCTTTACCGTTGAAAACCGATCCACCTTGTACATGTGAGTTCTCATCTTTTAAAAAAGAATCTGACTCAACAACTACGAAGGATGTGAGCGGCGTAACGAAGTTGTACTTCAATGAAATATTCAGCGCTTCTGATTTCAGCCGAGCCTTTTCCTCTAAATTTTCCGTTATCAGGAGATCGAGTAACAGCTCCTTAATTTTCATGTAAGCCCACAGCCTCTCAGGAAAGTCTTTGACTAACACCTCATCTGGTGAGACGGTTAGGTTTTGGAGAGTGTGTGTCAGAGTATAAAAGACAGGTTTGATACTAGAGATACCCCGAATATTAACAGGCATCAGCCTTGAATCACTGAGTCCTTCCTTAAGCTTTCCAGACACAACAAGCTCCGATCCATCGTTATACTGAGAAAATTCTGTAGCTGTGACTTGTGTGTTATCTACCATGTCCTGAGGATACTCGAATCGAACTCGCACCAACAGAGGCGTGCTGATCTCGTCAAAAAATCCTTCTAGTTGACTCGCAGCGTCCTTAGCTAGATAGATTCGACGAGCTTTACCTCCATTTTCAGCTGATAGCGCAGTAAGCAAATTCATATTTAGGTTAAAGCCAAATCCTAGAGAAAATATGGAAGCTTTTAACGTATTCGCCTTAAGAATGTTAGCACGGATCTGCTGACCGTCGACAACCCCCTCGGTTGGCTCACCATCTGTCAGAAACAGTACAATCGGAAAATTGCCTGCAGCGAACGAATCCCCCTGACGAGCTATATCTCTAAGGAGGTTTAGAGCCAAAAGAAGAGCTTCGTTGATGTTGGTACTACCTCCTGCGTTCACGTTTTGTTCGACAAAGTTTTTACCAGCTTGAATATTGTCACTAGTTGCGAGCGAGGTTGAAGGTCTCCACTTTACCGTATCACCATTAAATAGGACGATGTTAAATGAATCGTCTGCGCGAAGCTGGTCGAGGATAGCTAACATGGCTTGGCGCGTTTGCTCAATCTTTTGACCTTCCATTGAACCGCTGATGTCGATGACGAAGACCACGTTTTTTGGCAATGGATTTAAACCACTGGGAGAGAAATACTGAACGAAAAAGGAGTCAAGCACTTGGATTACTCCGGCGTTATTTTTGTGATGAACGTTGTACCTGCCATGAGGAAAGAAAACAAAGGTCGCTGACAAACAACTGTAACAATTATTATGATAACTATAATGCAGTATGTATATTTTCCATACTGTTCCCTACACATTTTCTAAGGTGCTGACAAGCCGGAGAATTTGTTTAACATCGCGAGTTCCTTTAGCTGGTGATCATTTCCTTTATTCTTGCTACCTTTATGTTTGATTCATTGGTTATATTGTATGGAGAAATTAGATGCTTGTCACTCTTAGGAGTTAAAGGGTTTGAGGAGAGAATGACGATGCTTGTGCTCTATGAAGCAACCGCAAAAAATTGCCCTGAATCGTTTTCATTGGGTACAAAAACATAATTTTGTTCGATCTTGTTGCGCTGCTCGCCTCCTTGAATCATTTTTTCGTAAACCTTCTGAATGAAACGATGCAAAGCGTGTCGTCTAAAGAAGCAGTTTCAATGAAAGTTCCATCTTCTGTTTTAAAAAAACCAATACAAGATTTCAATTGCTGAATAGGTCTGCAACTGTCAAATCTTTGGTTTCTGAAGGAATTCAGAGAAAACGGGAAAAACTAACATTAGGAAGGTCCTAAGAATAGATTACGAGTAATAAGTCTACAGAATTCGATAAAATCGAATTACAACGAAATTTCTTACCGTATAATGAAATCGCCATCAACCCCCGCATTTCCATGTTGTCTCTGTTCGGTTTCACTTGGACTGTATGTTATACGCGCCGACGTCGGCGATGTTTGAGTCACCACTGCTGATGGATTTCCCTTCTCCAGTACATCGCTTGGATCTTTGCGAATTTTCATGACCTCTACGAGAGATAAGTCTTGCGGTTCTTCGATGTCGACATTAACATTTAAAACGGGAACAATCTGTTTTGGACGAATGCTGATTGTTTCTTCGTAGAATCCTTTTCGCCTTATAAGCAACTGTTGATAGTTAAGATGAAACACAGCAGTACTGTTTTGGCGCTAATTGCAATTTCAAACACGTCCATTCCTCGCAAAGCCTGTTGAGATTTAGTGGAACTCACAAGGCCTGTGTTTAGGCTGTTGTTCTTGGCTTTCTCGTATTCCGTTTTCGCTACGTTCTTTTCCTTCACACGCGCAATGAAATGTTTTCCATTCACTACCATCGAGAAGTTGGAGATAAAAGCTGTTTCCGGGAGGTGGACGACAAACTTAGCCTCACGATTGTTGGGAGATTTGTTTTGCAACTTACTTGTTACAAGCGTGTTCGCAAAGCGTGAAGATATTTTCGATGTTATAAGCAAACTTAAAGGAATCAACTCTGCATTATGTATATCCCTACGTTCTCGATTCAAGCGTTTGTCGAGGTCTGCCGTGAAAACTTTTGTGTTTGAATTCTGCACTAACCCGAGGAGAACACCGAGGAAGACGATGTACAAAGTCATCTTCTCAATTTGTCCTTGGGCATTCGGCAGTCCGTCACGGAATCGACTTCACTTCAAAATGCAAATACTCCGTACTTCCGGTCACGTCCACAAAGAATTAGTATTAGTCAACGGAACACACCAACCAAATAATGAAGATGACGCGTGGGGTCATGTTATGTCTGTGAGTCGATATTTGAATAAATCTATTAGTTATCGTCGGAAAAGCGCAAATTCCTGAGCTTCATGTTTATCAACCGTTATATCGATAAAAAATAGGTAATGATTGTTTTCGAGAACGAAAAGCTTACTGGAACTTTTTCTCGATAGCGACAAAAGGATTTGGAAAGGGTAGTTTAAAAAACCAGCGAAAAACCCTTTCGTTAAAAAAAAAAAAAAAAAAAATTCGCTACCGGACCCTCATACGATACTTTATCAAATAACTTCTCCGATGTTTCAAATGAATATTGAAGCATATAACAGTCATTTCCCAGTTACCCAGGGAATCTTGCAACGTAGAATGGGAGAGCCGATAACATTGCATAAACTCAGTTTATAAAATATGACCATGCAGAACCGCGAGAGTGAATGCAAGTTGAATACAGAATAACAATGAGTCCATGGCCAGTTATAGAATTAATTAAAATTTTCTATCTTTTTGAAGAGGAAGTTAAGTCAAGAAATATTGGTCAACTTGCATCAATATGACTATGTTTGCTCATATCTGGAAATTGTAACTACTTGTGGAACCATAAGCCACTGTCCTCGGTTCCTGTTTCTCGTTTCTCACTATATGTATTTCTTGAATTCTGTTTTCAATCCTAGGTTTTAAAAGTAATTTCCAATAAAATCGGTTTGCATGTCGATGTTGTCGCTGCGTATTACTAGTGGAATGCTCGCTATAGCAAGATTTGGAAATCTCTTTTCTAAGTAGTTCCTAATGTACCTTATAACGAAAACCTAATATCTACGTTCACTCCTTTTTTTTTTTGCTTTTTTTTGGAATGTCGTTCCTCAATTGCTTGTTACCTCCAAAGAGATAATACTTGCAATATGTAATAGTTGAAATATGTACTTAATGAGCTTATTTTACCAGTCTGTGTTGTATGATAAGTATACCTTTACATAAGCTTTTGTAACGACTAAAAAGAAATGTCACTGCTAGACTCTCTCGCTACTGCAAAAACTCAATAGAATTACTTGTTCGATCTCCTGCCTCATCTAGTATTACCTATTCTGCTGTCCATTTAAAATCATTTCCACGACCTCCCAAGAAAGGTAACATGAACATAACCATTGCTTTTGATAACAAGACAAACTTCATGTTGCTAATGCCCCATAAACCAAGATGACCGCTTATTTGATGTGCTACCAGGATGGTCGTAATACGGAAGCATTTAAAGCCATATTAGTGAGCGCCATCAGAATTATCGTCAACGGGAAGGTTGGATGAGCTGGTCAAGAGAGGCTGATGCTCTCTTGTTTCCCGATGTATCGCTACGTTACCCCTGTTATCTGGACCTGCTATAATTATGAAATAGAGAAACACGTGAATAAGGAACCCAAGGTACAGTGGCGGACCTGCCTCAATCAGAATTCTCAGGCTGTCATTCTTGATTGTACTCCTAAGAAGGAAATACGTTCAGCGTTAAATTATCAAAAAAAACATCGCTGATAAGTATTACTGTGTTAAACACTTTACACTTTCACTCCAGTCCTCCGCCTGGTTAATCACTCTCAAAATAGATTACAGAATGTCATAAGGAGTTTCTGTGCTGCTCTGTCTCGAAATTTAAGGAGTATTTTAAAAGATTCGTTAATAACATTGTAACATGGCCAATGTGTAAGCGCGTCAATTCTGTTTCAAGAGGGAGACTTTGCGGTGACAACGACAGTGGAATGAGATTATCAGGAGAGTAAAACGCTAAATTTAACATTCAATTAATTGGACGCTATTTTTCGTTCATTTGAACCCCACACGACCATAAGGCGGCCCCTTGATTTTCTTAAGATCTGTTGTTATCTTTGCTACTCTTATCTTATTAATGGTAGAAAGGGAGGCCGTTACGAACCTTAGGAGTTGATCCAGTGGTCCAACTTTCTGATCAATCAAGCCCTCGCCGAACATAGAGAAAACTCCCAACATCACAGCAGGTACAAGAAAGTGATTTTTGCTGCTCGTCTGATATGAAAAAGTGCGGGCGTCTATATTTATGAATAAGAAAATGAGAAATGCTGTCGTTAAACTGCGCACGAAATATTTTAAGGCTTCCCAAAGAATGCATGATCGGTGGAGCGGGACTTCTGATTCAGGAGAAGCCCAAAAGGAAAAGATGGCGGCCTCCAACATCCAGCAAACAAAACCAACTGCGCCTAAAAGACAAACCTATGGAAAAAAGAAGAAATGTTAATTACGAAGCATAAAACTGTTTCTGCTGATGACCGATGGTGATGCGGAAGTGCTGACTTGTTTTTGTTTTCGAATTGAACGTACTTACACCTGGAAAACCTCGCTTGAAACCGCGCTTTAAAAACTTTGCAATTTTGACTTCTTTCTATGCTCATAATTTCTTTTGCTGGATTTAAGTTTGCGAACGTTTGCTTAAATTGTTGAAAAATGATACAATTAGTTTGTACCTGTCTAGATTTCGGGCTGGACGGGAAAATCTAGACCGTGGCCAATCTCGATTTCAGCCAATCAAATCCTTCAATTTGGTTGTTTCCAGTCTTTTTGGGGAACGGCCTCATAATAATGCTATGTACTTATTGATAGACGCGCTTAGACCTCCAGCCAAATATTTTCCCGTCCGGCCCGGCCAGACCCAATCAATAAGGATGTTATCATATGACCACTTCGAAAATTTTTTTTTCGACCTGGACGCTATAGACGGGCGCACGCGGGACAACCACAAAAATAGATTCTTCAGTGAAAACTTATACTTTGCCTTTTTTTGAGTCAGAAGAAACTCAGAATTCATCGAAACGCGCTCTTTTGTTTTGTTTGTTTTTTTTTTTACTTTTTTATTTTTTCTTTTCAGTTTTTGCAAAAAAAAAAATGCCGTATATAGGGCCAGACGGCTTTTCCCAGACAAGCTCACGTCAACCCGTTTGGCCGAGCGGGGCCTTACGGGTCATATTTGGTGAATGAATTAACCCTATTAGATCACCGATACAAATTTTATTCCTACCATTATCTTTACTCCATTTGATTTCGCTTGTCCATCGTCATCCAAATAGTTGTGGTGAAGGAGATTGGCACCGCAGGAAACAATAAAGAAGTTGACGATAATGGCAAATATAGCTACCCACGATCCAATCTTAAATGTCTTCACAACTTGAAGACCACAGAGTACAGGGGGGATCAAACATAAAGAACCAAGCGCATATCCAAAGCCTTTTCTTATTTGGTTGCGAGGCTCTACAGCTTGAACTCGAGCATCTTCTGAATTACTCCGGTCGCCTTGACCCTGAACTATGGAATGGTTCAAATCATCTTGTTCTTGATCAGCGGAATTACTCGCGCTTCCGTGACTGGCAACTTCGATGGAATCGTTTGGGTCCACTTGATATTGAGCCCCGGAATGGCTCAAGTTATCCTGTTGTTGATACGTGGAATTGTTCGCGCTGCCTTCATTTTGAACCTCGAACGAATGTTCAAGAAATAGCAACGCACACATTAGACGATAGTCTATTATTAGTGCTTCGTATAAACTCGTAAATACATCAGAAAAACTGCTCAGGTCTTTCTTGATTCCGCTTAAGTGTATGTCATTCTCTGTGTTTACCTGAGTATCTATCCATTGGATGAAGTTGAAGAAGGACAGCAACCTAAAATAAAACTCAACATTTTCTTCGCGTCCCTGGCGTATGATAGTGTTCCGCAGATAGAGATACGCACCTGCTTGAGTAACCTTCTGAAGAAGGAAAATAATCTTATCTATGATAGTAAAGAGCCATGGTATTTTTGTCAAGCTCCTCGTATCCTTGTCTATTTTCCTGTTACTCAGAGACGCACATAGCAGCACGATCTCAATAACCATCAGAGGAACTGTTAATAAAGAAACTACCAAACCCATGGAAGGCTGATGTCGACCCAGAGTCGCTTGACGGACAATTTCATCGTCTGGTACACGAAAAAACATTTTAACACCGATGAGAATGAATATTATTCCAATCAGAGGGATCGTGGAAAGCCGGTAGTATTGTCTGACCTGCAGGTCATTTTCAGTATTAGTTGCACTTTGAAATATATTAACAACGATTACAAGTGCTCCTACAAAAAATACGAATAAAGTACCTCTAGACGAAGATAGTTTGGCACATGGCTTGTAGAAAACGCCAAGAATTCCAAGGAAGAATATCAGCCAGTAGAAGAGTGCAGAGAAACTCGCAGCAACAACTTGGGATGCAATTGTTGTCTTGTTTACCATACTAAGGTTTGTAATAACAGAAACTTCGTCTTCACCAAGGCCTTCATGCTCACTGCAGGTGAGTGTCAGCGTCATCTTAGCTATGAAAGTTTCCAGTTTCTTGGAAAGTGATTCCAAGATGCTCAAGAATCGAAGGAAGTTAGCTATTGTTCGTTCGTGGTACTCTCTTAAATGATACTTCCGGGGAAGTTGGTCAAATTTCTGTCTAGGAATTTGTTACCTTAAGTCACGCTTCTAGTCATATAATTAAATTCATTATCCTGTTGTTGATTATCTCTAGCCGTTAGCCCGTATATAAGCCCAAAGAGGATACAGACCGATTAAAGTTTGAATGAAGAGGTTGTCGCGTATACCGACCTAACTGTTTGCCTTAATCAAAAGCCTGTTCAAATATTATTACACAGCAACCTCTCGCTAGTGGGATACACGCATGGATCACTTGTCTCATGCACTATTTTGGATTGCAGTGAATCGAAGTAACGTCTCTGTCACGCACGTGACGGGAACTCTTTCGGTGTAAGACACTTTGTGTCATTTATCAGTAACGTTGTAGAGAATTTGCTTCAGTCAGAACGACCTCTCATTGTCGACAAGCACCAAAGAGGTGAACAACTACTGAATAATGAATAAAAAGGATCATGCTAAAGCCCAAAGTTGCCACCCAGAAGGGGGGGGAGAGGGTGTGAAGGAGGAAGATAGGATAAAAAGCAATGATCAATGAGGTATTGGCCGAGGCAGGAGTTTATCTGTTCGAGCACTAACCAACCAGCATTACACAGTCATATTCGTTCAAAGCTTTCTCACAACGATCAGAACAATTTTAACGTGGTATTGTGGATTCGCAACAGCATCGTGGCTAACCTTGTTTTCTGATGGTCTAATTTACCGTCGAACGTTGGCATACGAGGGAGAAGGGAGGAGGGTAAAGTAGAGCTGGCGAATGGTTCTTCCTCAAACGTTTCCAACTTTTAACTATTACGATTATATAGTTGAAACTAAGCTGCTCATCGACGTTTCCGCCATGTTCGCAAGAAATCCGTCTGAATTATAGCAGCGAAATCCGTCAGTCGCAAATGAGACTTAAGAAAGGAAAGGTAGGCAAAAGGAGAGCGTCTAAAGCTCGAGAAATTGATTGCAATGAACGCTGAACCTAGAGATGACACGAGTTCTTCGTCGGTACGATAATTAATTTTCCCACCAGAGAATTTGACGCATGAATGGTTCACCTCTTCTCCCGAATCTTGTTGAGTCTCAGCGGTTTCGCAACTAAAGTCACGTGATCAAATTTGGCGCCGAGAGATAGAGACGGTTACAGTTCGAATACTGCATTTGCACAAGATGGATTTAACTTATTTCAAGATTCTCTGATTTTAGGATCTCTCACTCTGAATTCTTGATCTTTTTCTTGAAAAGATGAACTGATATTTTTATGTCTATGTCTTTGTTTGCATCCACTTAAGCTGATTTTTTGGCTCTCACTCTTTCAGCGTGCAGAATCAAGTCCTTCGAGTAAGACGGTTCAAACGTCGATTGATGATTCAGATAACATCAGCGATTATGAAAATTTAGAGGTGACATTGGCACCGAAAGAAAAGGGTAAATCGCCCAAGGATCTCTGTTTTACGGACGAGGCGACAGAACTGAGCACTGTCTAAGTAAGTTCTTGTATACTAAACTTAGCAGGATGGTGAAGAGTACATTATCGATTACTTTCTTTCGATTATATCCTAAAGGAAAACGGTATCCGGTCACTTCGCAAACTGTCAGTTCGCAAACGTCCTCGGTCGATTCGCAAACGCATCCCAGTCGATTCGCAAACGTAATATGAATCAACGAAAATCAACAGAAGAGAATCACGTTACTTTTAATCATTATAAATGATGAATTGATTGCGTGACTCGACTGATCGACGAGCAATGTAGAAAAATACACGCACAGTATCACTTTATTAAACCACTAAATGATCTACTAAACTATTCTTTAGTATTTACAAATATTTACAAATGTGATGGTTTCTGTGTGATTGACGACAACCGTGTAAGCTGGAACGCACGAAGTGAAGACAGGGTATTGAATACATATCCAAGATAGATCTAAAAGAGGAACAAGACACAAATTTACATCTATCTATGCTTCGATCGAAACCGCCTTAGAGTTGTTGAAGAATTAGACGTATTAACTGCTAAACGCTAATAATAATGTACAACTACTTAGTTTTGCACATCTTTCGAAGTTAAATCAACCTTTTTATAAATAATTTGAACACGTCTGCGAATCGACTGGGATCGCGACTACGTTCGCGAAGTGAACGGTATGCGTCGATCGATAACAAATCGTTTCATCGAATGAAACGTACCGATCTCCCGATGACTATATTCACATGAATAAGGAAAGTCATCGTCTGATGTAAGATCACAGTAACGATAAGACATCAATAAGAAGGATAGAAAATAATGAAAAAGCAAGCTAGACATTGAGACACTTCGAGACACTGAGTTAGATAAGATTTATTGAAAAGATTCCAAGAAGTTGGATGCCTGCCGAGCTTCCAAAATGGCAAAAGTAAGCTTTCACGCTGATAAAACTTACTACATTACTTCTTAATTTTATAACTTTCTTCGATAAAAGATTGTAAAGAAACATAATATGAAGTTATATCAACCTTTTTAAAAATAATTCGAAGACGTTTGCGAATCGACTTGGATGCGTTTGCGAAGTGACAAAGGACGTTTGCGAAGTGACACGTTTGCGAAGTGACCGGTATTCAGGAAAACACACAAGGTGCCAGTTGGTCAGTTAAAGATGACAAATCTCGGGGATTGCACCTACAAAAATGGCGAGATTTGATTTATTTTTATTGAAATATATTAGATATGTATTTACTTGCACCATGCATAAAACAAAGTAAACCCAATTTTTAAATCTGGTAAATTAAAAAATTAGTGAATTGATAGGATGTTATCAGACAGTTTAATTTTTTTGAAAACAAATATTTACCTACAGGTTCCTCCTGAATGGCTTTAAAAATTCCAACTACCATTGAGGGTAAGAAACTTTTCTTTGTTTTGTTTTTTAAGTCTACAAACAATCCTTATTTATTCATGAATACTGAACTAAAACTGAAGTGCATAGAGGTATGATTTCTTTTCTTGATAAGTATATATACAGTTTGGTGAAAATACATCATTGATGATCACCATTATTGTGTTTTTACTTCTTATGCACAGTTTACTTACAAATATTTTGCAACTTTGTAGTTGCAAAAATTTACTGTTCTCCAACAACAAATTAATTTGCTCATTTGTTTGTTTTTTTGTACAGTTCTCTGCCTCAGTAGAGTTGGATATCCAGAAGGGATATCTCATCAGCAGCCTAAAGTACTCTGAGCAACAGTGGATTGCAAAAAAAAAATTTTTGCAGAGTATCCTTGTATGGTTAGCAGGATACTAGACTAAGTTGACTTGGAAACTGAATGGATTGGTATGGTCTAAAAATCTATTGCTTCACCTCTTCTTCTTGCAGTGAAGAGAGACAATTTTGTGGTGCTGAATCTCTTGCCTTAAACTAAAAAGTTGCAAAATAATCACTCTCACCTTTTAAGTTCATGACCTTTGTTCTTGTGTGTTTGTCATCACATGCATTTAATGAAGTTGTGACCATTTTGGAGGTACAAGTCCAAAAAACTGCTACTTTGGTACTAAGATGAACAGCTAAAATTTCTGAGCCCATTTGCCAATGAAGTCCAGATACAAAGGTTCAAGTACTTTGGGGTTGTATTAATTTTGCCTTTTTGTTAATTTTTTTTGATTTTGCAATTTTTTAAAATATTCCTGTTGTCAAACCATTAGATAAATATTGCACATAGAATAGCTGATTTTTTTCAGATATTTTGGGAGTCATACATTAGTTTTTCAAGTCTTGAAGAGGAGACAAATTACACCCATTGGGCTAAACTTCCACTTCCATTTCTGGTGTTTTAGCTTATAGTTTTAGAAAAACATTATATATATATATATATGTAAATGTGGGGGTAGAGTCTACCTTGGCATAAAGTGCTCAATGCTGTGGTAGCAGAGCTAAGTATACATAAGTTAAAGAATTAAAGAGGACACATCAATTCTCTGTGACTCTGAATTTCGCACCTAAGCGCTTGACATGCGCTTAGGCACAAAACTCAGTCACAGAGAATTGATGCGTGTGTATATATAGTGTGTATATATATTCTTATATATAGTGTGTATATATATTCTTTTTTTTTCTGGCTACAGGCACTTTTTGCACTTTGGCTTGATTTTAATGTGGTTGTAAAACTTGTTTTTATTGCATAGAGTAGCTGATGTTGATTCAGCAATCAGAGATTATGTCCAGCACAAATTTTAATTTTTGGAGATCTTCAATACATCAATCTCCTGAATATAGTGACAGAGGGAAGTGTAATTTGTCACTTCTCACAAGAAAAGATTCTTGATGCTCTCATTGGGTTACTTGGCTCATTTATATTTTCTTACAATCGGTCAAAGGCAATTTTGCCTTTTTTTAGAGCAAGCATTGCTTGAAATTGGGCACAGGCAGACTCTTGTCACTGTTTCCTCTATTTTCAATGACTTGGCAAATGCCTGTGGTAGTACTTGCTGATAGTTTATATTTTGATAATATCTAAAGTAGCAATATGAGTGCATGTATTCTCACATCCACTGGAAGAATACTCTTTGCTGCTCTAAGGCTCTTTGTTTTTCATATGCACAAATCAAACAAGATCTATATTCTTGTGCAGGAACTGGACCATTTGTTGCCTCTGTCTTATTTTGATAATTTTCTGTACTTTAAATCAGTCTTAATTATAAGCTGCTTTACATTACCACATTTGCTAAGTCATTGAAAAGGGAAGCTTTACTCACAAGTGTCTCTTGGGTGTAATTTCTTGCAATGCTTGCACTGTTAAGAAGTATACTGATTTAGGGAAGAGATCTATTTTAGAAAATGGTTGAATTAATGTTAAATATGTATGTATGTTATATTCTTTCACATGATGTTTCGAAGTTTGTCTGTTTTATACCACAATTAAGATTCTTAATAAATGTAAAATCAGGTAGCGTAAAAGGTTTTTACATAAACAATATCTAGAACCTAATAAATGAGTGTTTGAAAGATAAAGTATGTGGTGTATTTTCATAATTTGAATGTAAGGGGGAAAATCAGCATGGAGAGGAAAGAGCCCTCTACTTCTGAAGTGGCCCACATTGGAGCTGAATTGGCTCTTTTTAAAGGGGCCATTTGTGAGAGGGCTGAAATTTCGGGGCTGTTTTGGCCCCTATAAATTTCAAAGTGGCCCCTGTATTTTTCAAATTCACCCTTCACATGGTCCAATTTGGCCCCTACAATGGGGTCAATTCAGCCCCAAAATTGGTGCCAAAAACAGCCCCATTTCAATGGGGCCGAATTGACCCTAAGCGAGTACCAAACTGGACTCACTCGTTTTGGCCCCATTTTTGGGGCCAAATCAACTCTTTTAATTTTACAGTGTGGTACTCTACTTAGAGCCAAGATACGCCAAATCTGAATCATTACCGCCATTGCATAAATCGTAGGAAACGGATTTGGAGAACCCATTTGTGAAGCAGTTGTGTTATTTTTTTTTAACCTCTATTTAGTAATGTTGTTAAATGGAGTCTACGATGATTTACTTACGTATACTTAAACATTCATATATATATTAGTTAAAGTGTTTGTCAGCTTTTTTTCATTATGAATTCATGAACAATGCACCCATTTAACCAGAATGTGTGCGAGCTCAACTACGTTTATCAATCTCTGCTTGTAAAATAACAAAATGCAAAACCATATGAATCAGAAATCCAAGGTACATCGGTGGACCAGCTGTAAACAGGAAACCCAGACTTACATCATCAATTTCACTCCTATAAAAAAAAAACGAACTTTGTTCACACCCCATTAAAGCTTTTACGCACTTTTTAATTCATCCATGAGAAGCCTGGAGGACTAACGAGCACATGAGCTGTAGCCTGCTCTATGTTATATTATTTACAAATCGAATATGTATGAATGATATATACGACGAAGAGGCGAAGAAAGTGATAGTAGCAATAGAGATGATAGAGAGGCTAAGATGGACTCAATGGTGATGCCAGTGATATTTAGAATGGTTAAGGTTTTGGCAATGTTGAATTCCAAGGTGATTACCATGACTGTGGTGTTGGAGAAGAGAAAAAGAATGGAAGAAAGTATCACTAAAAAAACCAAGGCCTCATATGTTATCGACTTGAAAATTGCTGAACAGAGTGAAGTAACGCAAACAATGACAACCGAGGTTCAAAATGGTACTACTTATCATAATGATTTTGCAACAATATGTATCTAACTACTCATACATGGGGAATCATATTTAAATAAATACGAAGTTACAAACCTCAGTCTACTGTCCACCGGTCCTACATACTGATCGATTAAACTCTCTACAAAAGCTCCAAATATCGTAAATATCATAGCCGGCACTAAGAAATGATTTGTAATCATTTCCGAATTTCTACGTGCCAAGTATTGCACCTTAACTTTCAAAAAAAGACCCATCAGAAACACTGTGGAAATGCTGCGAGCAATATACTTCGTTGCGACCCAGGCAAAGTATTGGGAGACGTCGCCATTTTCGGTAACTGCCCAATAAGCAGAGATTGGTGCTTTGATTATCCAACAGGTGAGTCCCACAGCTCCCAAAAAACATACCTGCAACAGATAGGAGAAAAAGAATTCGAGAACAGAATCTTTGAGTTGTTTCATTCTTTTCCTTTTTACCCTTTGGGAAAAGACAGTCACGCAATAATCCTCACCTCAATTTATAGCAGATTATAGCGTATACAGCGTCACTTTGTTCGAGAGATTTCTCGATAACACTGTGATGATCCAGTCTCTCTTTACACCATTTAAGATAAGAAACATGCTAAACGACTAAACTCACAGTTCATACTCTGAAGCCTAAGTTAGCACAGTGATTAAATAAATGACGTTAAGCTGCACAGCCAACATAAATGGGAACCTACCATGTTTTGGACTCCAGATGATTCCGGATGCCTTTCCCTATCACCAGTTAAATCATTGCTTGATAAAAAGACTGCTCCACAACCAACAATGGTAAAATTGATTATAGTGGCAAACACATGGACCCATGGAGGGATATTAAGGTTCTTAACATAATACAGTGCTGTGCAGATTGGTGCAGACAGACTCAAGAAGCCAAAAATAAACCCCTGCAGCTCTATATTGTTCTTTTTTCAAGGTCATGTTTCTATTAGGTGTGTCGTTTACTTCGTCGTAATTGTCCGCCATTTCGTCCTCTAATGAATGCTCAAGGAACAGAAGTGAGCATAGAAGGCGGTAATCTATTATCAAGGCCTTGTAAAATACTGTAAGGATATCGAACCAAGCATTGTAAGACAGGTTAGTGTGACTTAACTTGATATCGGTGTCTTCGTTTACTTGGGAGTCTACCCATTCGATGAAATTAAAGAACGCCAGGGTCTTCAAATAAAACTTAGCATTTTCTTTGTACCTTGGACAGATTGTCCTATATCTTAACAACAAAATATATACAATTGCTTGGACAACCTTCTGGACAAGAAACGTTGTCTTGTCTGCGACAACAAGAGCCCAAGACTTTGGAGGAAGTG